GAAGCAGATATTCGAAGAGCATATTTCACCTCTTATTGATAAGGTTGAGGATGAGAACCAAGAAACTAAATTTTACGAGTGCATCTGTATTATTGATCCAGTAAATTACAGAACAATTGTAGACTTGTTACAAGGGGAGAATGCCAAGGTTAAAAAGGGCGAAGGTTCTATTGAAGTATTGGATATGGCTGCTATAAAAGAGGAATAATGCGACTGGAAACTAAACACGGTACTCTCTTTTGGCGAATTAGTGTAATAGACATTATTCTTTTATTAGCTATCTAATGGAGTGTTCTCAGATACTATTATCTGGACCAAGTATAGCTCTTATAGATAATTAGCTTTCAATAAAACCCATATAGAGTGTAAACTAAATACCGACACGCGTAAATTTAGTCACTCTATAAATCTCATTACATCCCAAAAATTTTTCAAGCATATCATGGCTAAAGGTGATAAGGTACTAATATTGTTTAATATCGAATAAAATGGCTGTAACTTTACCATCATTACCAGCAGGTAATACTGAAGCATTTAAACTAGTTTCTAAATATTCTCCTGCCACACGTCGTCCAATCGAACCGGTTGGTCGTTATTTCTTAGCTCATGCTACTAGAACCTTAAGAGGCCACACTTGGTCCGAATTCGAAAAGTTGGAAGCTGAAAGAAACGTCAAGCAAGTTGAAGAAGACCAAGATCAAGACATTGGTGATGAAGAACAAGATGCAGAATTATTAGCTATCGACCCAAGGGAATGGAAGACTGCTGATTTGTATGCCGTTTTAGGTTTATCCAAATTAAGATACCGTGCCAACGAAGATCAAATTAGAAGAGCCCACAGGAAACAAGTCTTGAAGCATCACCCAGATAAGAAGTCTGCCGCTGGTGGTTTGGAACAAGATGGATTCTTCAAAATTATTCAAAAGGCTTTTGAAATTATGTTGGATCCAAGTAAGAGATTACAATATGACTCTGTTGATGAAAATGCTGATGTTAAGCCACCAGCACCAAAAACCAAATACGATTTCTTTGAGGCTTTCGGTCCAGTTTTCGAAAGTGAAGCCAGATTTTCCAAAAAGCAACCAGTTCCATTATTAGGTACTTTAGAATCTACCAAGGAAGAAGTTGATGCATTTTACGGTTTCTGGGGTAAATTCGACTCATGGAAGACTTTTGAATTTAAAGATGAAGATGTTCCAGATGACACTGCTAACAGAGACCACAAGCGTTATATCGAACGTAAAAACATAGCTACTAGAAAGAAGTTCAAGCAAGAAGACAATAAGAGAGTTATTGACTTAGTCGAAAGAGCATACTCAGAAGATCCAAGAATCAAGTTATTCAAGGATGCAGCCAAGAAAGAAAAGGAAAGAAAGAAATGGGAAAGAGAAGCTGGTTCCAGACAAGCTGCTGAAGAAGCTGCTGCCAAGAAGGCTGCTGAAGAAGAGTCAGCAAAGAAGGCTGCCGAGGAAGCTGCTGCCAGTAAAGTCAGTTCTAAGAAGGCTAAGGAAGCTGCTAAGGCTGCCAAGAAGAAGCAAAAGAGATCTATCAGATCTGCTCCTAAGGATGTTGAATACTTCGGTGATGCTGGTAAGGCTACTGATATTGATGCCGATGTCGAATACTTGATTGATAAGTTCGATGATGTCCAATTATCATCCCTTACCACTAAGGTCACTGGTGCTAGTGCTGACACTGTTAAATCTGCCTTCAACGAAGTCATTGCTGAGTTAGTCGGTGCTGGTAAAGCCGAAGGAGCATACTTGAAGTACTTCTCTGCTTAGTCTATCATTAACTACGTTATTTATTAATTTTAGATACTGTGTGTATATAAATACATCTATACATTAACATGATATAATCGCTTCCAAAGAAAACTCCCCATACTCTTAATCGTCATCTTCATCGTCAGAAATCTCAATCTTCTGCTTCAATGCATTTCCCTTCAAATGGTAATGCTCCTTTCTCATTTCCTCGAACCTCTTATGTTTCTCTTCCGCCGTTTCAGTCGGTTCTTCCTTCTCCTTTGGCTCCTCTTCGTCATATCGAGGGTCCTTAATCACCTCACCACCATTGAGCGACGATCCCTTGTCCTCAATATGATCGTATTCTCCACTTCCCAACTCAAAGTCTGGAATATCTTCCTCGTCATCCTTGTAGTATTCTCCCTCCGGATTGAATCCTCCTTCATACGGGGTCTTTGGCTCATCAATTTTCATCGTTGCACTTTTCTCTTGCTCCGTCTTATACAAGTTCACCTCGTCCCATTGTAAGTGATCCGACGGCTTTTCTCCATGAGATTCCTCCCCACCGTCATCACTTTGATGTGCTTTAGCCTCAGCGATCTTGGCTCTTATTTTGTCTCCTTTTGACGATTCTGATGCCAATTGGGCATTTAACCTAGTATTTTTAATAACTTCCTGACGGTCTAATCTATCCGCTTTTGATTCGGCGCTTTCACTCACTGATTTATTTCTTAAAATACCTCTTGGTTTATCTTCAGACATTGTATTGTATAATAGTAATAGGTCTTTTCTTATTAAATTCAATTGATGGCTAATGAATGATCATGGGGTTATATAGAATCAAAATTTAATCACGAGCGCAATGTTTTTTGCCAGCGAAAGCCTCGAAACATTTTCTTGATTTATAAGTTTAGGACCGATTTCATAGTGAATAACATAGTGAATAATCAATTATTGTATCAATTATAAGGCATCAGTTGGGTATTTACAGTTGATTCATTGATTAACAGAACATATTTGGAAGTTAGTTCAATTTTGCATAAGCTTTGGTGCTTGTTTAATGAGATTTACGTATTGATCATCTATACATATTCTAAACACGTTAATTCACAAAACTTAAACATAAAAGTCGATATTAAATAGTAATATGGGACAAGTTTTCAGTTTTACCAATATATTTGGTAAATTATGGGGAATAAATAAGGAAATTCGAATTTTGATCCTAGGCTTGGATGGTGCCGGAAAAACGACGATTTTGTATCGTTTGCAAATGGGGGAAGTAGTCACGACCAAGCCTACTATCGGATTCAACGTGGAAACGTTGAAATACAAGAATTTAACATTGAACATATGGGACTTGGGTGGCCAGACATCCATAAGACCGTATTGGAGATGCTACTACAGTAATACGGCAGCGGTGATATTCGTGGTTGATTCGACCGATAAGGAGCGTATTGATATTGCATGTAAGGAGTTGCATACGATGTTAAAGGAAGAAGAATTACTCGATAGTGCATTATTGGTCTTTGCTAACAAGCAAGATCAGCCGGGGGCCATGACGGCTGCAGAGGTGTCCCAGGCGCTCAATTTGACCGATTTGAAGGATAGAAGTTGGAGTATTGTCGCTTCTAGTGCTATTAAGGGTGAGGGTTTAACCGAAGGGTTAGACTGGTTGATGGACGTTATTAAGGATGAGCAATTATAATATTAATAATCCATATCTAATTATATTTCGTAATAGAAATCTATTTAATAGAAAATGAAAAAAAAAAAATAATACATACGCAAGTCATAGAGAAGGCACCTTTTAATAATTTCAGGCGTCTCTTTCTTGTACTCTTTGTAAGATAGTTTTAATCATTTCGTTCCCTACCGCATTAGCTTCTTGGAACATTGGTTGGAAGAATGCTTGCGTTTCTTCGAACTCTTTCTTATAAAGTTTAAAATTCTCAAATGATATGATACTGGCCCATGTTCTAGCAGCGATTGTGAATTCTAAGTCATCTTGTCTAAACGTTACATCATCTACAGCATCTTGTATACATTCGTCTAATAAACCTGGGGTGCAAAATAAGTATTCGGTGACCCCTAAAAATATTCTGAATAATGGAGTAGAACAGATGATATGATCGTATGGAACTATGTCTAATTTGAACCAACTGTCCACAATTGACAACAAAGATAGATGCGAGTTTGCTTGTTTTCCTCCTGGTGGTACTTTGCTCAATGAGAAGTTCTGTAAAATATCATCATCCAACAATAAGTTATGATCCGATATATGTCTAAAGACACTCTCTTTGGCTTTGAATACTCTTGTTTTCAATTCATCTTTTTTGCCTTGGATCATTAAAGTGTATAATTCGGTTACTGAACGTGAGTACTGAACAATCTGTTCATGAGCAGACGGGTTAGTTATGGCCAATCCCGCGTATACGTGCCATTTATTAGAAAATATTCTTAAAGATATGTTCATCTTTGCATTCTCCATTCCTCCTACCCATCTTGGTGTCTCCCAAGGGTATTGATTAATCGACTTCCATGCTACACCCATCGATAAGAACGCCGCATGGGTCACAGCCTGGGTATCAGCAGTAATCTTATCATGTTTTTCTGCTGATAAATAAACCACTTTTGATTTCAAACAAGACACCAAACATTCAACAAGTCTGAAACTTTCGTCCGAGGCCCTATGTTTTATCAATACCAATGGCTGACCCGTGGTATTCACATTTGGCCCATGTAACGAATGCAATGATACTATTTCAGTATCTGGAGGTAAGTTTTTCTCGAACGCCTCGATCTCTGGTTGTTTACAGGATGTTTGACCACCAACCGTAGCTCCAAACTTAGTAGATTGACCATAAAGCGAAACAATTTTGTTAATATTTTCAGCTTCGACACTATAGATAATATAATCTGAAATACGAGAAACGTAATGTCCGTTCAACAATATTTCGAAGTTCTCCTTGGCAAATTTGGCCTTTGTTTCTTCAAATAGATCTTCTCTATCACAACCAACTACTTTCCACCCTGCTTCACTAAATCTTCTAGCGTACAAGTATCCCATATCTCCTAAACCAATAATACCAATTGTTTTGGTTTTTTGAAGTTTGCTAACTTCTGCATCACTTACTTCAACCATGTTTGTTATCTCTTAGTGATCTTCTTATTAAGTGGTTCAGAATAGATCTATAATATTTAACGCGATTAAAAAAAAAACATAAATTAATTTTTCAGTCAACCAACATTACACCAATGAATAACAGTGCTAGAGCATTTACGGCTCCTGGAAAAGCATTTTTGGCGGGTGGATACCTCGTATTAGAACCAATATACAATGCCTATGTGACAGCGCTTTCTTCAAGAATGCATGCGATTGTTAAAAATAGGGATTCAGATGAACCATCGTCAACCATTACTATAAGCTCCCCCCAATTCCAAGAGGGTGAATGGAAATACGAAGTAGATAATGGAAATTTGGTAAAGATTCCTACAGAAGTGAACCAACGCAATAATCCGTTTTTAGAGGCTACGGTTTTTACTGTTTTGTCCTATATTCAGCCAAAGGAAAGATTCAATCTTGAAATAACCATTTTTTCAGACCCAGGCTATCATTCACAAGATGACACGACGACTAGATTATCGGTCAATAAGGCAAAAAAATTCTTGTACCATTCAAAACCAATTAATGACGTGGCTAAGACTGGATTAGGCTCTTCCGCTGGGTTGGTAGCAGTAGTAACCACCGCATTGATATCTGCTTTTAAAGACGGTAGTATAAGTGATTTACAAAATATAATCCACAATTGCTCGCAAATAGCCCACTGCTATGCACAGAAGAAAATTGGGTCTGGATTTGATGTTGCTACAGCAGTCTATGGGTCGATTATATATCGGAGATTCGATCCCGGCTTAATAAATGAATTGTTTCAACACCGATTTTTCAGCTCTCAGAACGATGAACAATTGAAACAGAGCTACTCTACCGCCTTAGTCAACTTAGTGGAGTCCAAATGGGAATTCAATAACACCAGATGCACCTTACCTCCAGGCATAAGACTATTAATGGGTGATATCAAGGGTGGGTCCGAAACACCCAAGTTGGTATCCAGAGTGTTGAAGTGGAAGAGTGAGAATGTTCTGCAGAGCTCTGAATTATACGAACGTCTAAACCAAGCGAATCTCGACTTCATTGATGCATTATCCAGTTTGCATCGCTTCTATGTTGAAACACCAGCAACTTACAAAGAATTTCTCGCCTATTTACAGTCTACAAGTGTCGTTGCACTTGAATCCAATTTGCAGCAAACGGACCCCAAATTGGCCCCATTCGTCAATTTGATCGAGGCCATCAAAAATATAAGATCGAATTTGAGAGATCTAACCGCCTACTCGGGTGCAGAAATAGAACCCCAATCCCAGACCATTCTTTTGGATAACTGTAACGAGATTAAAGGATGTCTTGGTGGCATGGTTCCAGGTGCAGGGGGCTATGATGCTATATGCCTATTGGTCATCGAAGATTCAATCAATGAATTTGTGGATTCAACCAAACAAGACAATAAGTTCGACAATGTCGTATGGTTGAATTTGCACGAAGAAGATGATGGTATTGTAGAAGAGCAAGTAAATGACTATAGTGGCTTATTATAGATTAATACTAAGAAATCAACGTTTGTCTTGCACGTAAAGTGTGCAGAATTTTTGAACGCGGCAATGTCTTATCGGCTTTTAACGAATATTTCATGATCGGTAAATAATGTAGTCATTTAGAACTCCACGATATTGACATTATATATAGTAGGTTATATTATTGATAAACATATGTGTTATGTTCGAAGGTAACCTGTATTCCCTAATGAGTCGATTGGATCTGACTAAGAAGGCTAGTTTTATATCAAATTCTCAATTAGAGCTTCCACAATATAATTTGCACAATAATGTTTCCGATGATGACTTCTATAAATATGCTAATGTTGATAATGAATTGGAAGTTCCCGATCCAATATATAGGTCGGTATCAAGAGAGTCGAATGGACAGCTTGATATACCATTAACGCAATTCGAATCTCGGTCATCTTTTTCATATTCCGACAATAGTATCACAGAGGACGAAAAGAAGTACAAGCGGTCTTCATTGATATTTTTGGGTATTTCCATAGTGTCGGCCATTCTTATTTTGGCATTTGAGCTGTATATGTATGCCATTATTAACATTCATAAGCAGGAAATGGATCGACCTGCCAAGTACGTTGAGATATCTATATATCTATCATTTTTCATCTTCGCAGCCATATACCAAGTTGTGTTGACGGTAATAGGGCTAAGGAGCAAAAACATGTTATTGTTGACCATGTTGTGTGGATTCTATGCATGTATGTTAATATATACGGGAATTCAGTATAGTGAAGTTTCCGGGACAGTTGGCCAGGTGTTAGAGAGGGGATGGAAACGGGCCACACAGGCGATGAATATAGCTACGATCGCTGTCATTGGTGTTACATTGGTTTTGCAAACATATATGATATTTGTGGTATTGAAGAAAAACGTTAAGTGGTTTAGATATAAGAAAATTGGTGCTGATTTAAAAATCAAAAAAATGTACACTATATTTCAAATTCACAGATCGCTATTAATATTCAACTTCTTTTTCTTTTTGGGATTTACGGTTCAGTTCATTGTGATTATGATCAATGAGAAGAGTTCGGTGGAATTCATATTGACCGTTTGTGTATTACCATTGACTTTGATCATATTATTTCTTAGTGATATCGCAGCTACAAGAGAGTCTAAAATACTAATAACCGTTAGTATTATAGCATACGTAGGCGGGTGTGTTTATGTATTGTTCAAAACAATAAGATTATTTACTAAGTATTCTTCTGCATACCGAATAGCAATCAGGCCGGGTGACTATTTTCCTGGCAGGTCGTCTTTGGTCACATTCGGCGTTATTACCCTAGTTTTGTTATTTGCCACCATTGCCATCGAAATTATCTTATTCAAAAACTACGATAGAGGGTTGCTTCCGATAGTTAATACGTCTTACAGATGGTTGCCCGGGTATAACAGGAACATTCATAATGACAACTACATTGTGCATAAAAATGGCGTTGATTTAGATACAACAGAAAAGAGTTTGAGAACGGAATATAACGGAAAACTGTCTCAAGATCTTGCATCGAATGACGACGGATCTCTACTTATAGATTAGTTACGGATATCAGACCATTAATAATGATTAGCTGAATGCGATTTCGATCATGCGATTTCACGGAAAAACCGTGCGATTCGGATAATTCAGTACACACGCAGCCAGTCACAAATTAGCTGCAAATTGGCTTGTAAAGTATATAAGGGGTTGGATCAGGATGTAATTCAAGGAAATGTTAAACAGTATAATAAATATAATAATAAAATTAATATAGAAAACAATGAGCGATATTACTTTAGGAAAATATCTTTTTGAAAGACTCAAGCAAGTAGAAGTATCAACTATCTTCGGGTTGCCAGGGGACTTTAATTTGACCTTATTAGATAAAATCTATGAAGTGGACGGTATGAGATGGGCTGGTAATGCTAACGAATTGAATGCCGCATATGCTGCAGATGGATATTCTAGAATCAAGGGCCTTGCTTGTCTTGTGACTACTTTTGGTGTCGGTGAATTGAGTGCCGTGAATGGTGTGGCAGGNGCCTACGCAGAGCACGTTGGACTATTACATGTTGTTGGTGTTCCATCTATTTCATCTCAAGCTAACCAATTGTTGCTTCATCATACCTTGGGTAATGGTGACTTTACTGTCTTCCACAGAATGTCGAAGAATATCAGTCATACCACTGCTTTCTTATCAGATTCTGAAACTGCACCGGCTGAAATTGACAGATGTATAAGAGATGCTTATGTGTATCAAAGACCGGTATATCTTGGCATCCCAGCTAATTTGGTTGATGTGACTGTGCCCTCTTCCTTATTAGAAAAGCCTCTTGATTTATCATTGAAGCCAAACAATGCTGAGGCTGAAGAAGAAGTGGTCGAACTTACCTTAAAATTGATCGAAGAAAGTAAGAATCCAATCATTTTGGTTGACGCCTGCGCCTCAAGACATAATTGTAAGCAAGAGACCAAGGAATTGGTAGAAATCACAAAATTTCCTGTCTTTACTACGCCAATGGGAAAAGGTACAATTGACGAAGGAGGTGTTGGTGGTTTATTAGAGGATGACCCATCCTCTATTGAAAAGGTTAAGAAGAAGTTAGACCATGGAAATTCTGTCTCGTCCAGATTTGGAGGTGTATACGTTGGTAACTTATCTCACCCTGAAGTGAAAGAAGCGGTAGAAAACGCAGATTTGATTTTATCAATCGGTTCTTTATTATCCGATTTCAATACTGGATCTTTTTCATACAGTTACAAGACAAAAAATATAGTTGAATTTCATTCTGATTACACTAAAATTAGACAGGCAACTTTCCCGGGTGTTCAAATGAAAGAGGCTTTGCAACATTTATTGAAGAAGGTTGGACAATCTGCTTCAAACTATAAGCCAAAACCAGTTCCAAAAGTCAAATTGGTTAATACTCCAGCTTCAAGAGACTCCAAATTGACTCAAGAATGGTTGTGGACTAGAGTGTCATCTTGGTTTAGAGAAGGTGATATTATTATCACCGAAACTGGTACCTCTGCGTTCGGTATCGTGCAGTCTAGATTTCCTAATAATACCACCGGTATTTCGCAAGTATTGTGGGGTTCTATTGGTTTTACAGTTGGTGCAACGTTAGGTGCCGTAATGGCGGCGGAAGAAATTGACCCCAACAAAAGAGTCATTTTATTTATAGGTGATGGTTCTTTACAATTGACTGCTCAGGAAATCTCAACAATGATAAAGTGGAACACGAAGCCATACTTGTTTGTTTTAAATAACGACGGCTACACTATTGAAAGATTAATTCACGGTGAAAATGCCACCTATAATGACGTTCAACCCTGGAAAAATTTGAATTTATTGCCGTTATTTAGTGCTGAGGATTACGATGCTATTAGAATTTCTACCATAGGTGAAGCTGACGATATTTTTAGAGACAAGGAATTCAAGGAAAACACTAAGATCCGTATGGTTGAAGTCATGTTACCACGGATGGATGCAAGTACTAATTTGATCAAGCAAGCTGAATATCTGGCAAAGACAAATGCTGCAAATTAATAGAAGATGTTCAGGAATCTCAATTGGAACAACATTGATGATGCCTCTAATTAGAATACTACAAACATATATAGTCTCTATTTAATAAATCTTTTTATGGTAAGAAATATAATTAATTGAATATGAATTTATTACATTTAGAAGACCGATTAGCTGCAACATACCTGACTGCTGTCGCGGCATTATGTCACATTATCTTCATTCTAAGCAACACTCATAAATTTTGACATTTGGTTGCTCGCATTTTCTCCTTATCGTTTAATGCAAGATAAGAATTTGGCGTCCTAAATTCTTAACAAGACAATTCTCTTTAAGATGAAAGAATTGAGTGAAAAAGTACTTCCTATGCATAAAGAACCAAGCGATCTTGCGATATCAAGAAAAAATAAATGGAAAATTCCATTCATTGTCGTTAGTATAATTAGTTTCCTTCTTTACTTCCTGTCAAAAAAATCGAATGTATTAAGTTTATTAAAACTACCATCTCCAGATGATCCTCATAATCCGGATTCTTTATGTCCTATAGTAGAAAAGGTCGATCCATTGAAATATTTATACAACAACGATACTTTGCAAAAGATATTGCATGACAACAACTTTAAAAATGAATCGCTTAAAAAGTTGGTTGACTCGGTCAGGATTCCAACGCAAGGTTACGACGGCATGATAAATCCCAATTCTGCGGAAACGTATGAAAAACTATATGAATTGGAACCTAGATGGAAGAAGTTTGAAGAATTTCATGCTTTTTTGAAAAAGGCCTTTCCAGAAGTCCATCAGAAATTAAATGTTGAAACTGTCAATAAATTTGGTCTTGTATATACATGGGAGGGTTCGTCGGATAAAAAACCAATCATGCTTACAGCTCATATGGATGTTGTTCCAGTAGACCCGAAAACAATCAATCAATGGACGTATCCACCGTTTGATGGTGTTTACGATGGGGAGTATTTGTACGGCCGTGGTGTATCCGATTGTAAAAACTTATTGATGGGTCTATTAGAGACGATTGAATTGCTTCTTAGTGAAGATAAATTCGATCCTAAGAGGACTATAATTTTAGCTTTTGGTTACGACGAAGAGTCTTCAGGGACAGGAGCTCAGGAGATTTACAAGCATATAGAAAAAAAATACGGCCGTGATTCGATGTATGCTGTTATAGATGAGGGAACACAAGGATATGAGACTATAGAGGGAAGGAAGTTTATCTTGCCTGCGACCGGAGAGAAAGGTCATGTAGATTCTGTTATTGACCTATTCACGCCTGGCGGTCATTCATCAATTCCACCGGATCATACGCTGATTGGTATTTTAGCTAAGCTAATTTCCGATATCGAAGATGAACAATTCAAGAGTGTTATAACTAATGCAAATCCTGTTTTGAACCAATTGCAGTGCATTGCAGAACATTCTTCAACTGTCGACAAAACTTTAAGAAAAAACATATTGAAATCTCATTTCGACGTAGATGCAAATAAAGAGGTTTTAAAGTACTTATCTAAAGATCCGGCGACAAAATATTTAGTTACCACTTCTCAGGCGGTTGACATGGTTCAGGGCGGAACCAAATCAAATGCTTTGCCGGATCATGTATCAGTTTTAGTCAATCACCGTATAGCGCTCGAGGAATCTGTGGAAGTAACTACTGATAAAGTTTTACATCATATCAAGAATATTGCAGAAAGGTTTGACTTAGGTATCGTTTTTAACGGAGAGGAGATTAGGAAATTTACACCAAACGGTTATTTTAATTATTCGTTAGTCGGTCAGCTTGAGCCTGCGCCAGTGACACCTATAAATGATAAAATTTGGAACACATTTGGAGGATCGTTGAGATATTTATATGAGGAGTTAACATCTCAGGGCACAAATGAAACATTCATAGTCTCACCTTTCATTAGTACTGGTAATACGGATACGAGGTTCTATTGGAATTTAACTAGAAATATTTTTAGGTATACTCCTGGATTTTCAACATCTGATAATATTCATTCGATCAATGAGAAATTAGTAGTTGATGGCCACTTTCACATTATTGCCTTTTATTATTATTATTTGCAAGTTGTTGATAAGTTGGATGATGACTTGCTTTAGTAAGAATTAAAGCTTGCAGATTTTATATTTTTAGGTAGCTCAATATCTCAAAATCTCAGGCTCGTAACATTTAAAATAATTCTGAAAAATTTTTGTAGATGATCTTGTAAATTGCATTTGTAAGCTAGATATAACCAGTATATTAACATATAGTAAAGTATGCCTTCAGAGTTAGAGGAATTAGTATCGTTCTTACATTCACCCCAACCAGCGGTAATTCAAATTGCTTTGGATAACTTAGTTGGCTATTCGCAAGGTGCTCATCAACAAGTCTTCAGTTACGATAACTATGAAGCTATAAAAGATTTAAAGAAATTAGCACAAGATGAAGGCAAGACTACAGTTAGCCAGTCTGTGACTATATTGGCCAACTTGTGTGATGATTTAACTATGAGAAATATAATTGTGGAAGATGAAGAATTTTTGAAAGTTTTAGTTTCTGCTGTGATTAACACCAAGAACAGCAACGCTGACTTAATGTGTATTTTATTGACGAACTTAGCTAAAAATGATAGTATTACTAAAGTTTTTGATTTCGATATCAATCATAACGAGGAACAACAAAAAATTTTCAAATCAACTAAAGCAATGGATTGCTTAATGGATTGTTTCGTGAAAGGTTTTGACAGATCCTTGAATAAATACGCAGACTATGATTATTTGGCTTATTTCTTTGCTGACATTTCTAGATTTTTACAAGGTAGAGAATATTTTATCACAGAACAATCCTATGACGAAGTTGTGCCAATATCTAAGTTGTTGGTATTTACTGAAAAGTATGATTCTAAGATTAGAAGAGAAGGTGTTGCATCCACTATCAAGAATTCGTTATTCGATTCAAAACCACACATGAAATTATTAACTGATGAAAAAATAAATATTTTGCCATATATATTATTGCCACTTGCTGGTCCTGAAGAGCTTGATGAAGAAGATATGTTCAACTTACCTGATGAATTACAATTATTACCATCTGATAAAAAGAGGGACCCAGTAAATGCACTTATATGCATTCATTTAGAATCGTTATTGTTATTATGTACCTCTAGAGAAGCAAGAGAGTATCTTAGAGAAAAATCAGTTTATCCATTAATTAGAGAATTGCATAAAGTTATGGAGAATGAAGAAGATGTTGTTGATTTGTGTGATAGATTGGTTCAAATGTTGATGAGGGATGAGTCCAATGATGCTGCAAATCAAGATGAAGAGGAAAGTAGCGACGATGAAGACGATAAAGTTGTTGAGATCTTATAGATAGATAGTAAGGTTATGTAATATTAATACAATACAATTCGTAACTATAGCGTATATTTGACTATATATAGCGTGACTAAATTTCGAACGCATAAATCTAACAATTATTCATCCTTCAAGACTAATTTTCCGTCAACCAACCTCAAATTCTGCTTAACAATACTAATAATCCTTAATTTATTATCTTTATGAGCATTAACTCTATTCTTTAAACCGAACAATAATTCCTTAGTAGTTAATGGATTATCCTTGACAATATCTAAGACTTCTTTCACAGTAACTAAAACATTATCAGGTCCACCTGATGTTAAATCTACATCCAGCGTTGCATTTACAGGACTACCAGGTAATGAAGGTGATGGACTACCGTTTTCTTTTTTGATAGATATCTTTAATTTTGTCTTGCCATCATCAATTTTTGCCTTCTTATTAGGATTATTATTAGTCACTGCTGGTCTTTTGCGACCATTTGGATTCCAATCACCATTTGGAAATCCACTTAAGAATGTAGGAGGGGCTCTAACAATAACGAATCCGTCACCAATATTTTGCGCCATAAATGATCTTTGCGCCGGCTTATCAGAATCTGCATTATCTAGTAACCTATCCTCATCTTCCTTCTTGATAGCCGCATCATCGTCACTTTCATCGTCACTTTCTAAATCGGATTTTGATAAGTATGGGTTTAACTTATCATCATCATCACTATCATATACACCACCCTCTGTTTTATTCAACACCTTACGCAATTTTTTACCTTCTTTATCAACCTTTCTAGACTTTTCCGTTTCAAACAAGTCGTCTAAGTCATCATCATCCACTTCTGCATCAGATTGACCATCAAAATGGGCTGCTTTTAACATTTCCTTTTTAATCTTTTGTTCGGACAATTTGTTCTCTTCTTCATCGCCATCCATTATTGGAGCTTCCTCATCATCAGCAAACTCCTCGTCGAAATCGAGATCATCATGATCAGAGTCTCGTTCGTTCGAAGTTGAACCCCCCAATACGGTTCTTAACCTTCCTCTATTATTAGATGAGGCCAGAGGATTACCATTTCTTGAGGAGCCTACATTATGTCTAAATCTTTGATCTGCAGTGGCACCTTCTAATCCGGAGTTATCTTCCATATGTCTCATTAACCACCTTGGAACGGAAGAATTTTTTTCCATTTTGGCCTCCGCCTCTTCTAGTGTCAATGTTGCGTACTTATTTCTTTGAGTAAATTTATAAACCTTCTCTGCTGGCACCATTTTAAATCCATCCTTATCAAAAACAAATAGCACCTGTTGTGTATCTGACGAACCCGCCTCATAGTTCCCGACAAAGACGTTCTTTCCATCATAATCCTCTACAACCCACGGGTAATATTCTTCATATCTTAGTTTTCTTTTCTGATCGTCCATGAGATTTATTTGCCTTGTCTTTCTTTTGAACAAGCTCTTTTTCAGCTTTCTAGCTCCTCCATCTGGTGCCACCTGAGACATATCCACCTCATCTCTGTTGATATTCGTAGGGTCTTCTCCATTCGCTATTGCTTCCTTCTCAGCAGCTTCAATTGATTCCTGCTTTTGCTTTTCTTTCTCAATTTTCGCTTCTTCTTCTTCCCTCTTTCGCTTATCTACTTCCGCTCTTGTCAAATGAAATTGGATATTTCTCGGATCCTTTCTATGTAACCTCACCGGCTTCGTGAAGTTCTCAATGATATCCACGTTTTGCTTAGACTGAAACTTCATTATGTGGTATCGAATGTCTTTGATATCCTCTTTTGTACAACATTTTAATGGGATATCTTGCCATCCTTGGTCGGATGAATTTTTACCATTTGATGACGACGTTGCTGGCGAAGAGCTCCCATCTGCTTCTTCCTTCTTAACGACCACCTCTTTCTTTACAGGCAGATGGCTCATATCAAATTATAGATATATGTATTGATCAAAATAGATGAAGAAGTATCAAAATTAGTCTCTTTTTTGAACTGAATAGTTACTTTGCATAAAGTTTAAATGTCGTATGATGTCTCATAATGCAAAATACGACATCGGTATCAGACATTAGATCAATATTCTTTCCGTATGTAATATAGGGGGATATTGGCTATAGGTGAAGGCGACTTTGTTAATAGTTCAATTCAATGAAAAACATACTTATCAGAAAGTGTATTGTACTGAAGCGGTACGTTTTTTAATCCGTGTTCAACTACGAATCTCACAAAACCCGTTGAACAACTGGGCGTCAAGGAGAATAAGATCAAATCTTATATCTCCAAGCTATACACATAAACAGTAGATGGATTTTGAGTAGATTCATTATGGAAAGTTGATAATTAGCAAATATGAATTATATTAAACATAGAAAGTAGAATACAAGCTTGTTGCAATTAATTTAACCGATAACGGCTGTTTCGCACCGATTATGATTCATCTGCCAAAAAATGAATATTGGAGATAATTTTTCAAACTTTAGGTTGGTTTATCTAAAAATTGATATTTATCTACGTATAATAAGGGAAAAGTGTTATTGAGCCAAATTATAGGGAATAAAGTAGTTTTGGAATATAAGGAAAATGTCTATCGTGGTTCAAGAAAAGGAAGATAAGATCTATTCACCGGAAAAGGCGATGCAGAATGCCCCACCAAAGTATCTTGGATTCGTCGCAGGGATGTTTTCTGGAGTGATGAAAAACATTGTTGGTCATCCGTTTGATACGATTAAAGTGAGATTACAAACAGCTTCGGATGGTAGGTTTAAAGGACCTATGGACTGTGTTTTGCAAACAGTGAGAAACGAAGGTCTCAGAGGATTCTACAAAGGGTTTACTCCCCCATTAGTAGGTTGGGTCTTGATGGATTCAGTGATGCTTGGGTCATTACATGTCTACAGGAGAGTAGTTAAGGACAATTTGTATTCAGAGGAAAAGAAGTTACCAATACTAGGACATGTGATTGCAGGATTGGGAAGTGGATGGACTGTGTCATTTGTAGCGGCACCTATTGAACAATTTAAAGCTAGACTTCAAGTTCAATATGACGCAAATACAAAAATATATTCTGGACCTGTTGACGTTGCCAAAAAGCTCTATAAGACCACGGGTGTTAGAGGTATCTACAGTGGGTTACTCTCAACTATGATATTTCGAACCAATTTTATATTCTGGTGGGGATCCTACGAATTATTCACACAATGGTTTGAAGATAATACCAAGCTATCAAAGCCTTCTATCAATTTCTGGTCTGGGGGATTATCAGCAACTGTTTTCTGGATTTTCGCATATCCTGCCGATGTGGTTAAACAGACAATCATGACAGACAATCCAATAAGATCAGAGAAAAAATTCCCTAGATGGATTGATGCAGTTAAATACATTTACAATACAAAAGGATTAAGAGGGTTTACAAGAGGTTTTGGGCCTTCTATTTTGAGATCGTTCCCTGCTAATGCTGCTGCTTTGGCTGCCTTCGAAGCAGTTATGAGATTTTTGCATTAATGAGTAATATATTAGACATTTATAGAACGAGTAAGAGGTTGATACAGCAATAATATTTCGTTTTTGTAGTCTTAGTCTTCTTTATTTTCTTGTGCCTTTATTTCCCACGGTTTTAACCTTTGCTTAGCCTCAGGCTTCGAACTCTGATCTGGTACAACTGTATCTGGGATTTGCTTAATACCTGGAACAGGTTTACCAGAAACGATTAATTCCACTAATTTTTGATAATTCGAAGAGTAGGGAGGCTCGTTGTTGTCTGGGTTATTGACTTGATCTTCGGGATCATCCGTTATTTCAGTAATTTTCTTGTTCTTGTTGTATTTGTCCCCATTGTGCAACTTCCACTCATTATAGTCATCCAAATTTAAAATATTGTCTGTATGACTACAATAAAAGAAGCACTTAGCTTGGTCAATTAGCTGTTGTTTATCTAGTGCTGGAATACTAGTTACCGATGGATCTTGATCTTTTAAATTATTTAGATAGTTATCTAAAATTTCTTGTAAACCATCCTGGAATTCACTAAACGAGTCCCAATCGTAATTTAAATAATCTTTGTATACTTCTTCTTGTGGATTTGATGACATATTACTATATATTCAATTGTTAGAAGTTATACTGGGGTTGTTTTTTTATCTCGGTTATATTTGAGAACTGAAAAAATTCAAGCTTCCGAAAACAAGATCGAAGTGTTTAGTACTACAAGATGTTGCAATTGTCCATATCACATATAATAGTGTTATCACTCCTTATTAGAATTGGATTTTTTCTTTTTGGCCTTTACCAAGATAAGTATATGACCGTAAAATATACTGACATTGATTATGTAGTGTTTTCTGATGCCGCTAACTACGTATACGAGGGATATTCACCATATTCGCGAGAGACATATAGATATACCCCATTGCTTGCATGGATGTTGATACCAAACTGCTGGGGAGGCCAGTGGTCAAATTTTGGTAAATATATCTTCATGATCAGTGATCTAATTACAGGAATAATTATTCTTAAACTATTAAGTGGAATATCAATTGCTGGCAAGAAGTTAAGCACGAATAAAGTAATCATGTTGTCATCTATTTGGCTTTTGAATCCAATGGTAATAACCATAAGTACTAGGGGATCTTCGGAGAGTGTATTGACTGTAATGATTATGCTCTCATTATACTATTTGATTAATAAGAAGTCTATTATTGCATCAGGATTTTGGCTAGGGTTATCTATTCATTTCAAACTATACCCAGTAATATACTTACCGAGTATTATGCTTTATTTATCTACTTCAGGAACACCTTTGATAGACTTTCCAATTGTTAGATGGGTTAACCAAACGAATATCAAGTTCCTATTCACTACATTAATCACAATCGGTACATTTAACGGTATCATGTATTCCATCTATGGATATGAATTCTTGTACAATTCTTATTTATACCATTTGATTAGAATTGATCATAGACATAATTTTTCAGTCTACAATGTTGCACTATACTATAAATCAGCATTATCTGAAATTGCGGAATCATCGCTCGGCTTCTTTTCTGGAAATATGGAGAAATTTGTCATGTTGCCCCAACTATCAATTTCAGCGTTGATTTTGCCTTTGTTATTTGCTCGCCGTGATTTAATATCTTGTATTTTTATGCAAACATTTGCATTCGTCACATTCAATAAGGTGATTACCTCACAATATTTCATTTGGTTCCTCATATTCTTGCCGCATTACTTGGCCCATTCGAAACTTTATTCAAGAAAGCATATGTTGAAAGGAACCATGGCTCTATTACTCTGGATTGTATCTCAGGGATCATGGCTATACTTTGCCTATCAATTAGAATTCTTGGGTATTAGCACATTTGATAATGGGTTACTCTTTTCTTCATTCTTTTTCTACATAAGCAATTGTTGGATCTTAAGTGTATTTATTGACGATTTGAATAACGATTTGTAAGATCTTACTGGTAGTAAGGATCTGAATTCAAAATGGTATTTAGAGTATAGAATAACGTTTTTTTGCAATCTTTTAAGAGGATTTTACGTCCTGCACACAAATTATCTGTAGATGATGAAATGAAAAAAAAAAGTTCCTACATTATATCTAGTAAATGAAGCCATACTAGCAATCAATAATGTCTCGTATGGAATTATACTCTCCAGAAGGGTTGAGAATAGACGGAAGAAGATGGAATGAATTGCGTCGTTTTGAATGTCGTATAAATACACACCCAAGCTCGTCGGATGGATCATCTTATATCGAACAAGGTAACACCAAGATTATATGTATGGTACAAGGGCCGATGGAACCTAGTTTAAGATCACAAACAAATTCATCTAAAGCAAGCATAGAAATCAATTTATCCATAGCCAATTTTTCTACGATCGAAAGAAAGAAAAGGTTGAAAAACGAAAAGAGATTAATCGAGTTGAAGACGACTTTAGAAAGAACATTCGAACAAAGCGTTATATGTAAATTATACCCAAGAACAGTTATACAGATAAACTTGCATGTATTATGTCAAGATGGTGGATTGTTGGCTGGCATGACTAATGCAATCACATTAGCATTAATAGATGCTGGTATTGCGATGTATGACTATGTTTCTGCCATTAATGCTGGATTATACGACCAAACGCCATTATTGGATTTGAATACATTAGAGGAAAACGATATGAGTTGTTTGACTATCGGAGTCGTTGGAAAAAGTGAAAAATTAGCATTATTACTTTTGGAGGATAAGATGCCATTAGACATGTTGGAATCTGTTTTGGCTATCGGAATAGCAGGTGGCCACAGAGTTCGTGATTTAATGGATAATGAAGTTAGAAAACACGGCAATATTAGATCGTCTAGGTTAGTTGACCAGTAACTGCATGTATTATAGATAAATGAATTCGCAAATAATTTGTACTTTTCGCTGAAACATTTGTAGCCTGATCCGAAATACAAAACCAAACAAAACGAAAACTTTCAGACATCATCTTTAAAGGGATGTAATGAATTGGATATAGCAAAAAAATTTAAAAAAGAAAGGAATTGACACGGACAGGAATTGAACCTGCAACCCTTCGATCTGGAGTCGAAAGCTCTACCATTGAGCCACCGCATCATCCTTAACAACTTAGTCTATCAACTAGAATATGTCATGGCTTCTTCATACATATCCATTAATTGCAATTCTTCACTGAAAATAAAGAAATATAAGTAATTTCAATGAAAATCCTTGATATAATACGCACTATGTGTATTCTATATTTGGTAACTTTTTCTTAACCCGATCACCGATTTATTTTAGCGATTTTCACAAGACATTTTGAATGAGGCCTAGCAAATATTGTTAATATTGAACACTTTGAAAAGGCCTTTGAATCAACTAATGTAGTTAACATAGGCTAATACAATTCTAAGCTACACAGTGTATACATACTTTACGGAATCACGACATTTGCAGCTATCGGTGTAGAGAAGTATCGGAATTGATAATTGCACACAGGACGAAACAACTTGCGTGTCAAATTTAGTAACCCTCACCAAACAAATCAAATATAGTTCAAGACTTATTATAAAGAGGGCTTTTCTTCTAGATCCAGTTTCAAATATAAAGAATTGAGCCTGTAAGCCATTAGCGATTAGACTCGTAAGATAGAATATAAAATATTTAAAAATATTCTATTGGTTGAATAAACAAAAAATAAAATATGTCTTACAGAGGAACAAATCAATTTAACAATCAATTTAGAGGACCAATTGGCGGGGGGCAACCTCAGGCAAATATAGGTCCAGTTTCTAGCTCGAAATCTGCTTTTGACCAATTTGAAGACTTTTCGAAGAAAGTGGAGGACTTAATTGATGAATATACGGCACCTTTGAAGCCATATGTACCATCTATCGGTAGAGCATTTATCGTGGCCACTTTCTATGAAGATTCCTTAAGAATAATGACGCAATGGTCAGAACAAGTCTACTACTTGTACAACTACAGACATCTCTGGCGTTGGTTCACGGTTGTGTTTTTAATTTCCAATGTGTTAGTTATGTTGAGTGCATCAACATTGTTGATCTTGAGAAAAAAACCAGAAGTAGCAACTGTTGCATTAGTATGCATTGTTACCTTGCAAGGGTTGGCTTACGGTTTGATTTTCGATGGCCAATTTATCTTGAGAAACTTATCAGTTGTGGGGGGCTTAATCCTCGCATTCTCAGATACTTTGGTTAGAGACAAAAGATCGTTGTCTATGCCAGGCTTGCCAATGATAAACAACCAGGACAACAAGAAATATTTCTTATTGGCAGGTAGGTTATTATTAGTTTTATTATTCTTAGGATTTGTTTTTTCTGCCTCATGGTCATTTACCAGATTAGTGGTCATTTTAAGTGGATTCGTTTCATGCGGTTCAATTGTCGTTGGATATAAAACTAAGTTTGCTGCTTTTATCTTGACAGTCTTATTGTTTGGCTACAACGTCTTTGTTAATCAATTCTGGCAATACGGTTCTCATGATTCCACCCGTGATTTCTTGAAGTACGAATTCTTCCAAACTTTGTCGATTGTTGGTGGTTTAATGATTATTGTTAACGCAGGTGCTGGAGAGTTATCGTTGGATGAAAAGAAAAAAATCTATTAACCGAGTTGATACAGTAAAATTGGATACTTAATCGCTTCAGCATATCATGTATGTATGTATTTATATACTATATATTATTATTTGGGATTTCCAAAATATAATTCTTGAAAAGATGATACTGTTAAGTAGTTACTTCACTTTTTGTAATGACATCACGAGCGCACAGTCTAAATTTTTCGTTCAATAAGAAATGCTACATTAATCAGTTTTATTGTCTGACATATTTTAATTATTAAATGGCAGAAGAAGATCAAGGTAAGTGTCCAGTCGACCACTCTACAAGAGATGCTTGGTTGAAGAAAGCAAATGTTGCACCAGAACCAGTTCCTATTTCGGACCAACCGAAATGTCCTGTAGATCATGATGCTAGGTCTGACTGGTTAAGCAAAGTTTCAGTTGTACAGACAACGAAACAAGAACCAGAAGCCATAGAAGTAAGTTCTACAGCTACCTGTAGTTCTGATAAGTTGGACACTTCAGCTACCGATATTAGTGACTCAAACATGAAGCTTCCTACTGAGAGAGAGATTAGTTCTATTCCTCGTACCTCTGGCCAGTCCAACTGGATCTACCCATCTCAAAAGCAATTCTTCGAAGCAATGAAGCGTAAAAATTGGGAGCCAGAAGCACAGGATATGAAAACTGTTGTACCTATACATAATGCCGTCAATGAAAAGGCATGGCTGCACATTTTAAATTGGGAAAGATCTCATTATCAGCAATCTTTAGCGCAATGTGGTGGTATAAAGTTGACTAGTTTCAAAGGGGATCTGAAGAAGCTTACACCAAGAGCATGGTTCAATTCAACCATCTTAGGATACGAAAAACCCTTCGATAGGCATGATTGGATAATCGATAGATGTGGAACAGAAGTAGAGTACGTTATTGATTTCTACGGAGGTAATGGTAAAGGGGCAAGCTTCTTCTTGGACGTGAGACCAAAGATCAACAATTGGGAAGGTTTAAAGTTACGATTCGGAAGAGCTTTTGGATGGGAATAGGCACAGTTTCCACCTTACTTGTAAATATCTAGACTATGAAAATATTATTCTCTGTTCATTCATTAACTTTAATATAATTATATACAAAATAAATAGCTAACACAAATAATAACTTAACCTTGAAGTAGAATTAGCATCAACCCATCAAATAGTTAATAAATCTATTGTCTACCCATAAATTGGCCAGATTGACCCATTTTTTGCATATTCTCACCCACTTGGACATTGGTTTCAAAGTATTTAGCAACACATCTATCTAAACAAAGAGCTTCCTGCTTGGACACTTCTGAGTCGTTATAGGTTTTGTTAATACATTTGGAATGGCATTGTTCGACCAATTGGTTGAACATACCAGTAACCATGTCTAATTCAGCCTCAGCAGCTTGTAACTTTTGTTGAGATGAAATTTGAGGAGCAGCACCACCTAATCCGAACATTTTATATCTTATTATTCTTAATTAAAATAGTATATTTCAAGAAAATGTATCTTCTTTCTGGTTGCCTTCTATTTCTCTGGAAATTTGTGATTCTTTGAAAAATCGCCAACTGATTACGTAACATAAATGATTATATAAATCTTTTTTTTTTCAATGTGCAACATCTATTAACGATACAGTTAAATTTAACATAGTATTACATTAGCTATTCTACAAACTAGGGAACGTAAATCTAACATGAGCACCCCATAATATTGAAGTGTCGGGTACATCTAGTTTTAATCTCGTTAAATCGTCTCTTTTTTCCGGTATCGCGCATGCCATACCATGGCAAATAGTAATAGCCTTGCCGTTTAATGAAATACAACCACCAAAATTGTTAATTCTTGCATTGCTCCAAGCTGAGTTTGAATTTATCATATTCAAGAAATTCTCATGAGTAGAATGGGTCACATCGTAGTAATACTTAAGAAATTGCCATGTTTGGGTCTGTAAATTCAATACCATAACGCGCAGAGTATTTGCATTCATAGGTGCAAATTGTAACTTACTTAGCCTGGAAACATCAAATTTATCACTTCTATAAGACTCGGTATCAAAATATCTCAAGTAATCATTGGTGAAGCCTCCCATAAAGAATAAATAGTCTTTTTCATCGTTCTTGTAATACAATGCGCTGTGATGACATGCTCTTAATTCAGCTTCTATTATCTTTGGATTTGGATCCTCGTTTTCTTTAACAAATATGGAAGCATCGTCATCCTCGTATGGTTGTTTGGGAGAATTGAAATAATCGTGCACGTAGGTCGATAGGGTTTGCCATTTTCCGATTTCAAAAACAAAAACATAGAAGTCACTAAACGTTTCAAAGTTTTCATTACATCCACCTTGAATTAGTAAAGCTTTACCATTGAAGTAGTCTTCAACGGATTTTGATTTGAATTCTCTTGTAGATATGCCCTTGCTGCTTGCAGTTTGAACGGAAGTAGAACTAGAGGAAATGCTATCCGACACTGGTGATATTACCCTCGTACATTTTATACCAAAGTCTTCGGCATCTGCTAATTCTTCCGATTCTGAGGCCAATTGATTAATGGATTCTATGTCCAAGTAACAATTTTCGTCTATAGTTTGACTATTGTCTATTAATGAATAAGCAAAATATCCCCTCGGAGAAGGCCAGGTTTCAGAATTTATGCTTTCACCTGTTTTTGAATATACCCCATTTGTACTTACTGTTGAAATCGTAGCTTCATTTTCAAACCCTATAGTAAATTTAGTCTTTTTGCAGGCGATATCAATCCTTAATAAATCGTTGGTCGCTCTAAATGATTGATATCCAAATTCATCTTCGTGGCACACGAAACCACCAAATATAAATATGGAAACCCTCCCTTCTTGAGATTTATGATTATGATGATTGATGAATGAAGCGTTTTTGCTTCGACTATCAAAAGAGAAGCCATTATCATCATCAGCAGTTTTGAAGCCAGTATCTTCAAGATTTGGTGGGCTGTCATTTTGGACAGGCGAAGCATTTGTGCTAACATATGAAATCAGCGGAGTCGATGGCTTCTGGTCACTTTCCAAGTTAGAAAGGTTATCTTTCTTTTTATCTATTTGAATTGAATTTTGGAAGAGTTTGGAATCAACACTATCACTGACAGGATTTATAGGCGTCTTGTGTGAATTTGATTTAGGCATAGGGTTACCTATTAATTCTGGCGATACCGGCCTACTATTCTGAGAATTCGATCTGTTATCTCTTACTTGATTCGAATACGTATTCTTTAACGGATGGTTTGTTGGTGATTTTGGGGTACTTCCGCTTGGTTGTTTTTGATGTCTATGGAATATCTTTGATGATTTCGATAATGCATGAGTTAGTTTAGGACCTGGTATAGTTTGCGAGATACTATTCTTTGTGGAAGTTGAAGGTGTTAATTTTGAAGTCTCTGAATGATTAGTAAAAGACTTCTGTGAATTTAACTGCTTCAGAAGATTAAAAGAATAAGAACTTGTAGAAGAAGCCGGTGGTGGCGAGTCAACATCAGATGTATTACTTTTTTCATTCAATGTATTCGATACAGAAGTATTCGTCGACACGCTTGATGACTCAGGTAGTTTGATATTATCGGAATCTCTTGGTTCCGGAAAATTCAATGGTTTTACCAAGGGACTCGAAGGAAAAGGAAGATCATTGATAACGTCTGCAAATACCGGAGGCAGTATACATCTGTTCTGCGTTTCTTTATCGTCACCTAAAAGCTCGAATACATTTGCTGCAATAGCATTTCCAACTCTACCAATTCTAAGAAACTCCAGAGCTTTAGATTCCAATTCAATTTTCGTGAACTTTAGAGTTTTGATATCTAGAATATACCCGTTTTCATTCATTACCAATTTTTTTTTTATCACCCACCTGTCAATATCAGCAAAATAATCAACAGATTCAACCTCGATTTCAAAACCCCCGTAAAAAAATATATGACTCTTAGAAATAGGGCAGCCAGATGCGTTATTCAAATATGCTGGATAATCGCTGGATGAATACGTGTCACAATAACTCACCGTACTTCGAAATGCATTAAATATAATAAGATGTGGGTTTTGCATCATATATGGACTTATTAAAATATCCCTATCGACGTGAGGAGGTAATTCACATGGAAAGTTTATTGAAATCTTTTGTGGGTCCACGTCGATAGGTATTCCCAAGTGCCTAAAATCACAATATTTATTGACATATACACCACCAAATGTATAAGTGATGTCGTCCAAATCAACATGATTTTGATAACAGATCTCTGGAAGTTCAGTGACCAACTTGCTTCTATGCTTATCAAGTGTGAAACTATTGGGAACATTCAACGTTGTCCTTGGAATCGAGTACAAACCTGAAAAGCCACGTCCACCTTTATCATATTCTGCTTTGTCGTCTGATTTGTTTTCAATTGGAATATTCTCCTGATAGCTCGATTCTGTTGATTCTATTGATAGCGTTCTACCATTTCTGTTTAATGATGCATGGTCTATTTCTTCAAAAATCGCCTTGGGAAAGAATATTTTCTCCTTTTCAGCTTTGTTGAAGATATTCTTCGGATTACCAATTGGTGTCTTTTCATATTTAAATACTGTGTATGGGGGTTTAACGCCATGAGACCAGCCATGCCTTCGTTCGTTTATAAAGTCTTGCGCCTTATCGTGAGTCTTACTTATACGAAATATGTGTGATTCCATTTTGGAACGAATTGTATCCATGTCATGACTATTATCTATCTTATTGTTAAAACCAGGTAAACCTTTCCCCAGATTATTAATTGAATTCGGAGTTGACTCAAACTGTGTATCGAGCTTGAACTGGATATTATCTTGATTGACATCCATGTTCCATTCACCTCAATTGCACGGATATATTCGGTCAATTATTTCGATATCTATATTAATCTTCGATGCTCTTTTCGGTTGATTAATTAAATTTCAAGTTGTTTTGAATTTCAGATGTTCCAGAGTTAATTATTGAAGCAATTTAATTTTTGCGAATATGCCACAATAACACTATCTAACGAAACTACCTATACTAAATATCAAATAAATATATAAGCGACTATAATAAAATCTAAATGTTAGGACTTAACATGTCAGCCTTAACTAAAGCATGTATCTTTATAAATGTTAGTAAAAGTTTAAGTAAAACATATATGATAATTGTTTCAAAAATACGTACATCTTGAATTGAAGCATGAATGAATTGTCTAACTTCCAAAGCTAGCCAAACCTTCATCATGTTCAAAGAGTCTTCATTCTTCAATATTTCTCTTCCTTCTTTCAGTACTCCTAATTTTCTTAATACGGGCAATGAGCTATAGATGTTAGTATTAGTCAATAAATCATTAATGATAAATTGAAATTGAAGTGTATCTTTGAAGAAATTCTCAATGTATATCGATCATAAATGGGATTAACTTAATGAGGTCACTGGGTATAATATCAAATGAAAGATATACCAACTTCATTTTCAGTGGGGAATCCGAATAGTAAAGCATATACGAACCTTGCAAATAAATCTAAATCTGGGTACAATTGTCTACCAATTCCCTCCAATAAGAGTATAGCAACAATAACTGTAATGAAATCGCCTTCCATTCTAACATGATGAGTTCTAACCATGCCTAAAACTTTATCCAACAAATCTCCTATGCTGATGTTACCTAACGTGAATGTTCTTTCCTTCATAGTACCAACTAATTTGTCAACTTTCAAAGCAAATATTTCTTTATTTATTACAGTTTCAGGAGTTCTAGACCTTTCAACCATCAATTCACCTGCCTTGTAACCATCAAACTCAGATAACGCTCTAAATAAATCGATAAAATTTATTCTATCGTGATGGTTTAATTCAGTGATTAAACCAACATCTAGGAAACATATTTCTGCGTGATAACCATCTTGGTACAACTCAGATAACCTACTGCACCATTTTTCATTATCATCACCTAAGCTTAATAACTCATTGGTAATTTTATTCGTTTCATGTTCGTTACTTGACTTCACGATTTTGTATTCTCTTTCATGTTTAAACATCTCATTCTTATAGAAACGAATCATCATATTACCAGGATGTAAATCAGCATGTACGAAGTTATCAAGTATTAACATTTTCAAAAAAGCATCTAATCCTTTATCACTGACTTCCTTTGACAAGTTCTTTCCAAAATTATCACTCAACGATAAAAGCTTGCTCATGGGTATGGCATGTATATATTCTTCAACAAGCACATCCCTAGTGGTAAAATTCAAGTAAGGTTTAGGGAAATGGATGTCTAATCTCTTTTTAAAGTTGTTTCTGAATCTTGCTAAATTTAAACCTTCAATTCTAAGATCCAATTGTAATCTCATCAAAACGGAAAACTGTTCAACTTCATCTGGTAATGATAACCATTCCATAGTTGGAATCATATTAATCAGATTCGCGAAGAACTTCATTATTTTCAAGTCTCTATTAATTTTTACCTCAACATTAGGATGCAAAACTTTAATTGCAACGAACTGATTTGCCGTCAACGGATCACCATGTTCTGTAACCAATATATTATCCAAGAATTGTTTACTTTTGTTGGGTTGATTTACCTTTTCTTCCAAGTCACCACCGGATCTAACCTTATTCAATGCTTTATTAGATAACTTCCCCGTGTAGACTTGAGCAATGGCTCCTACACCAACAGGCTTTTCATTAAATTCATCAAATATTTCATCGAACGGTAAATCTTCAAAACTCTTACTCACAATTTTAATAGTGTCTTTTAATGAATGAGCTTTTGCGTTTGAATGCAAATTACTTAATTCGTCACACATTTCTTTCGAAAAGATGTCTGTTCTTGATGCAGCCCATTGGCCTAGCTTTATAAATGATGCTCCTGCCTTTTCAGTCGACCATCTTAAATATCTATACCAGAGCTTAGCTCCCGATCTAATATTCTCTCCAGTGGATCTATCTTTGTGCCCAAACCAGCAAATAGGACAACTGATTAAAACAGGAACGAAGAGAAAGGATAATTCTAGAAACCTTCCAAATGTAATTATTGGATCAATTAAATAATCATCTATAGAAAATTTAATGTAGTAAAATATTTGCATTAACTTATTTCCCTTGTGTAGTTTGTTATGGCGATAATCATTATATTGTTGAGTTTCTTCTCTTTGGGATGCTTCATAAAGTCCATTTTCATAAGTTTCTGCATCTTTTACAGGTTTTAATTCATGAATAGTTGTATCTGTAGGTGCAATGTCATTAAGCACCGTTGATTGAAGTAGTATAGTTGTTATAGTTGCGCCTCCTAAACCAATAAGGCCACCCCTTATAAATTTCGAACTACGAATTTGATATTGCTGCGTGGAAGAATGTCTCTTTTTGATGGAACATTTGATATTTTGAGCTATCTGCCGCTTAGTGCTTCGTATTATGACACCCGACCCAATAGGTTGTCTCAATAAGTTAAACATGGTGTAATTGGTTGCTTCAATAGTGTTTTCAGGGCAACTTAGGAAGTTGAATTTCAAATCGTATACAACCGGGCGAGTGTTGCACAAAACTAATCAGGAACTATCTATTAAAATAAATAAACATCTTAAATCTATAAAAATCAAAGAATATATGTCGGTCCTTACGTGTCTGTTCCTTTCATGTGGTTTCTTAATATAGAAGTCCATAAGCATACAGTAGATGCACCCTTTGGGTTAGTTCTTGGACCACGTCTAGCAACTATTCCATCGTGCGAATTCCATGCATCTATATAAACAGGAATCTTGACCCAATTGATTTTATTCAAGGAATCAATAACGAACTGTTTTTCTTCATTTATAGGTAATCTACAACTCTTGGTAAACAATGGAAATCTAGAATTTTTCCATTGAGTTAAGGTAGAGCAGTGCTGGCGAATTGATTGATCATTTGATTTGGTATCGATTTCCACCACTTTTTTCTTCATGCTCTTAGATAGAATCGAAGTCCGTTCGTAGTCTTCATGGTCAGATTCACTATCATCATAATCATCCATTTCTTCATTAGTATCACCAGAGTTATCTTCATCGTTTAATGCATTGTTGTCGGTATTATTGGGTTCGTCACCATCCTCTTCTTGAATAGCTCCTTCTGTCGATTTGCCTGTAAATCGTTCCTCAGCATACATTAAGCTTTCCATTGTATTTTCAGTTAATTCGGACGTGTCTCCCTTGAAATAATTCTGTTTTGACATGGATTTTCTTTCATTTCTATTTTGCAACCCAATTTTTGCATCTTCGACATCCACAGGAGATGTGCCGTATACAGAGTTAAGTACTCTCTGCCAATGCAGTTTAATTTTTGGACCAGGAATAATTCTAATTTTAACCATGCTATAAATTGAAGCAACTAAACTTGAGAATAGAACTAAAGGAATCCAAAATGGTAATAGAAAGAATGACACCAGAAATATAATTAAAAATCTGAAAATCTTATTGGAACGAAATATGGACGTCTGCTCCTGGATATTACCAGCAAATACTTCATCCTCAGATCTTGTCATTTGTACTGACCTATTCAAATCAACGAATTTAGGCTTAACGTAGATTTTACCTATCTTTGCTTGTTGCAAGCCCTTCAAATATTTAATATTGATATTGCTCCAATTATCAAAAGGCGAGTATTCGGTTATGAAAGACGTATAAAATGCAACTGTTCTATCATTTTTAACATTGGATAACAATATATGCTTTCGAAATTTATTTAGACCCTTATAATATATACCTTCCGGGTCCGCCATTTGCATCAATATCTTATCATGATCAGTCATGAACATCTCGCGCCCTGATTTACCAAAAAGATATTGACCCACCCTGTTAGCAGTGTTGTCAAAGATGTTATCGTTGAAAAATTGGATACCAACATGTGGTGTCGCAAAGGTGGTAAAAAAGACAGGTTCTACCATTTCAAAAAATCCAATTTCGTTCAACACACCAATAAGGTATCTGGAAATTAAACCACCTAGGGAATAGCCTACCAAACTAAATTTAACGACTTTATAATTACTCTTTTGTTTTAATGCCTCGATTTCATAAAATATATCCCTGATGACTCTTTCAGCATTTAGTTTCAATCCATCGTATGTCTTCCAAAACCGAAACGAAGAAGGTTTCAATGTCACTATCTTTTCGTCCGAGCATTCCTGAAGTAACTCTCTCAATGATCTCTCAATAGTCAGCATATGGTTTGGACTTCCCCATAACCCATGGACTAAAACAAACAAATGTGCACTCTGTTCTTTCGGATCTTCATCTTTATTGCCCATTTCTGCCATTATAGTTGTCTATAACGTCTGAAGAAGATAATAATATAAAAAAAAAAGATTTCAAAGCTTCCGACCGAACTTCTGTTTATCGTGCTGCGATAAGGAACAATAAGGAAAATGATTTAACTGGACACTAATTCAGTGTTAGGATCTAGGTTAATATTTGGTTAAATATAACAATAATATATATTTAAGAGATAAGATCACTCGTATTTACTAAACTTTCGGTCGAACCGATGGATCCCATGTGATTTTCGAAATCTGTACAGGTTTGCAATTTTAGCAAACCTATGGCATAGGACGATGACTGGTACACAGCTAGCATCTTAGATCTATGAAATACGCTATGACTAGTCAGGCTATGAATATGTCACAACCTATGTAGGCGTGTATAGTTTTATTGTGTAGTCTACTTTATGTTCAAAGCTTTATCTCGGACCGATGGCTGTTGAAATGATACCTGAACACCAAGCAGAACATTTCAAACATACATACACATAACAATACTCGGATACATTACAGTAGAACGTCAGATACATGGTTTGACCGCCACAAATGTTAGATATAATGGCTTTATAAGGGTGAAATCATAATCGGATTTAAAGCCGGGTAAATGCGGTTGAAATTTTTCATCCACCTTTCATTCAGTAATTTCATTGCAGCTTGACCATAAATAACGTATACATCAACAACAACATAATAAAGGAACAATATGGCATTTTTTGGTAGCCCTTCTACTTCCACATCCACGGGAACATCTTCTGGTCAATCTCAGCAAGTGAAGCAACAAATCCAAGAGCAAATCAGTCAAGAATTAGCAGTTGCCAACGCTACTGAATTAGTGAATAAGATAACGGAAAACTGCTTTGAAAAGTGTGTAGAACAACCTCAAAATGGTTTAAACCCACAACAAGACGCTTGCGTTAACCAATGTTTAGAAAAGTATATGAGATCGTGGAACGTGGTATCGAAATCGTACATCACCAGAATCCAACAATCATCCAACTAAACAAAACCATAACCCTAATAGCGATATTATACTAGCATAATGACTAGATAGAGATGAATGGTTAATGAATATGCGATGGTTACCTGTTTAATAGTGCACATAGAGCTGTATATAGACTTGAACACAAGTTAATGATATCATTATTTACTGATCCTAGAAAGTTGCTGTAATTTGAAACACATACCGAACTACCTCTATAGTCCTAGGCTTGATTCAACTACGAGTACACTACCTTACACTTGGTAGAATATAATTGCATTCTTCGATTTCAGAAACATACATCACGATTGTCTACTAAACGATAGTACATAATGATTGAAATTGGCTGATCCACAGAATCATGACACTGCTAATACTGATATATATATTTTTGAATAGACTAAGGAGTACGGACCTTGTATGGATCCTGTTCCATAGTTGATCCTACTATCAGTAAATACCGTAGTTATAAATCTGTATGCAGGATAACCAATTAATGTTCAACAAACCAGTGGCGATTAGTATCTTTAGTTTTCAATCAATTGTTAGATCTATTTAATAATCTAGAATATAAAGTACATTGATATTCATTTGAAACGTTCCATCTACCGGATTCACTTAGGAAATATTGTAAATTAGAATCAAAGATATAAAAAAGAATCAATTGTATAATCATGAACGCTACCGTTGCATCTGAATACTCATCAGAAGTTCACACAGTTCCAATTGAACACAGATTCAACCCATACTCCGATAATGGTGGTACTGTGTTGGGAATTGCGGGTGAAGAGTTTTCCGTTCTTGCTGGTGATACCAGACAGGTTGTTGGATACTCCATTAATTCACGTTACGAACCAAAGATCTTTGATGTCGGGGATGACATAGCAATGACAGCAAATGGGTTTGCTGCGGATGGGGCTGCTTTGATAGATAGATTTAGGAATCAATTGAAGTGGTATAAATTTGATCATGGTGGTAAAAAATTGAGTATCAAGAGTGCAGCCAGATATATTCAACATTTATTATACGGAAAGAGATTTTTCCCTTATTACGTTAGTACTTTAATTGCCGGTTTGGACGATGAAGGAAAGGGCGCTGTGTACTCTTACGATCCGGTTGGATCTTATGAAAGAGAGCAATGTAGGGCAGGAGGTGCAGCTGCCAGTTTAATTATGCCATTTTTAGACAATCAAGTGAACTTCAAAAATCAATATGTACCAGGCTCTAACGGTACGGAGAAGAAAGAATTAAGATACTTGTCATTAGAAGAGGTTTTGCAATTGGTTAAGGATGCATTTTCATCAGCTACTGAGAGACATATCTACGTTGGTGATGGCTTGGAGATTTTTATCATTACGAAAGATGGCATTAGAAAAGAATATTATCCTTTGAAGAGAGATTAGATTAATCTATATACTTATACAACAGATTTAATAGTATACAAAATTATAATATAATTTATATCATAACTAATGACCCCATTAAACTGGCAATTCAAAATTTTGACCTTGCATAACCCTAGTATAATAGATGTAGAAAAAATCTGAATACACTGCCGTTTGAATTAATCCAGCTAAGACAGCAATATAGTCAAACTTACCTTCCCCAAAATATCTGTATAACCAATTTGGAATATACAAAACTCTGTAAATACCTAATGCAAAAATGTAATGGGTCGTGATATTTTCCGCTTCTCCTGTTCTTTGTAAAATAAATAACTGCGGTAAGATTGCTACTGACTCGAGCCACAATGAAAACGACCACAAGATTTCACCAAATGAATATTTATGGGTGAAAATCAATGAAAGCAAGAACGAGCCTCCCACCAAATATCTAACTGGAAATGTATCTATGTCCTCCTGAATAGACTTACGATATTTAAATGCCATGGTGTGGACAATGTAAACTGAAGATCCAATGAAAAATATCTTCATCAATGAATTGTAAAGGGAAACATAAGTACTAAACAAATCCAAATAACGAGTTATGTATACAAGGGCATATAAAGATTGTGTTTTCAATGACAATCCCTTAATTGATTTGTGCAATTCAATTGAGTACACCAATATGAAAATACTAGCAAGGTGGGAAAGATCCCCTGTAAAACGGAATATATTCATTATCTATTTGTTTAAGTTTGGTAAACTAAAGAAGACCAATAGTATTAACACGCTGTTCGACATTCTATACTTCTGAAAAAGTGTGATTTGTTTATATGCAGGCGATATTGCAACCTCTTCACAATCCTATATTATGTACTAATAAATCGTACTCATCGTCAATAGTGAGTTCTGGGTTAGATTCGTTGGCCCCGATGCTATTAAAGCCATATCTGTGTACTGGTTTATTTCCAGAGTAAGTTTTTTCATCTAAAAGTTTTACAGAGAATTCTGAGTAATTATCGTACCACTCACCATACAACGGACTTGAATCTGATAAATTCGCCAAAAAGTCTCTTATTAAGTCGTGATTCAATAAATTATTAACTGATGTATCTTGTGATAAGGTATGATAAGTCTTAAACTTTCCTTCCCCGGTGAAATAAATCATTGATGGAAAATGACTTACAGCATATTTCGCAAGAAAATCATTATCCACTAGCTTATTAACATCCACAAGCACAAAATCTATATCCGACTCGTACTCTGACAGGGCCAATTCTTGATAAAAATGTGTTGGATATTTGTAGTCAGTCCAATCTTGTATATGCGGAGCTGTGAAAACAACTAATGTGTTCTTGGAGGACGACTGTATAAAGTATTCAATATCGGATTGCAAGTAGTGAACATTAGATTTGATATTATCGAAATTTGGATGGACACGGGTGTTTTTTGTCATGAACCTGACAAGATTATCCAAGTCCCGGAGGTCGTTGTATGAGACGATTTCCTTGGTCCCAAAATTCAAGAGCTTCAATGTTGGGTATTTGTTCACACTGAACAACTGACTTAACTTTTTGTTTCTCAGTGCATTTGTTTTCAATACTTGAAGACTGTTACTAGCATTACCATATGTAGTGATATTATTGTAAAGAATACTTAAGTAGTCAAACTCTGGTTCAAATTGTGCACAATAGGCGCATCCTTCAGAATAGAAATATATAAACGAAAAGTCGCTTCGGGCCAAAGTTTGTTCTATATTATCATCATTAAACTCTATAACATGCTTCGATGCTGGTTCACACAATGCTAACCAGATATACGAGATGAAATATAATAGTGCTGGTATTCTTTGTAGCATCGTCGTTGCATTGTTCTAGTTAGAAAAATGCTGTAGCGAAGATCAAATAGATAACTTCCACGTAACCTGTAAACCTCCGTAAACTAAATCGCGCTAACCTGTAAATATGCACCTTTTACCAGCCAGCCATCAGTAGGCTGGCTAATTGTATTATTGTTAACCTACAGACGATGACTTCGTTGTATCGTAAATATATGTAGTTGACTATATTTTAGGCTGGTAAATTACCTATTCTGACATTTCCAACGTTATTTTCCTAATTGGTAAAAGCGAAAGCTTGATTTAATTGATCTCTTCATTTGATGAGCTTCATTTGGATGCGACCAGCATTCTCGGGGTGTCAGGCCTCTGGGTCCCAGCTTGATATAAATAGGATAGATTCCATGGAAGGAAGGTCAAGGTTTAAATTCTTCCAAACATACCACACTCGCTTCAACTTTACCCTTATTTTAACGTTCAATGAAAAAGTTTATTATTAGTTCGCTTTTCCTGGCCGCAGCTTTTGCAGCTTCAGGATCATTATCAACTATCCAATCCACACTCGTTTCTACGTTACCATGTTCTTCCCAATCCGCCAATGTGGTTCCATCTCAATTCATCTATGCCAATGTATCTACATTTGCTTCTTTGAGTACTACATATAACGTTGTTGATGTTTCATCATCACAAACTGCTATCAATGCTGGCTCAGAAGTAACTAACAGCCCACAATCGAGCTCCAAGGCAAGACAAACCTTATATGATTACGATACTGCTTATGATAATAAGGTTTTCGAAGTAACTCATACTGTTTGTGATAGTTATAGTCATTGTTATGTGACTACTGATCTTGAAAGTTCAACTACTTACACCACTACCATTGATGGTATCTTAACTGTTATTACTACTGTTGTTCCAGTTAGTGCTACAACTACTGGCTCTTCAAGTGAGTTCACTCAAACCGCTGCTGCTCAAAGCTCAACTCAGAGCACAGTTGCTGTAACTTCTTCGAGTGAAGTTACTCAAGAAACTGCTTCTGAAGGTGGACAGGGTACTACAGTCCAATCATCTGCTGTTACTCAACCATCTGCCACTGATGCTCCATCTACTAAGACCGAAGAAATAACTACTGTTGTCACAATTACTTCCTGTGATGATAACAAGTGTTCCATTGTTCCTCGTACAACTGGATTAAAGGTTATCACAGTCACTTCTAACGATATGGTTACAGCTTACACTACTTACTGTCCATTAACCGGCGAAATCTCATCTCCAGCAGGAACAGTTGCCCCATCTAGTCAATCCACCTCTGGTTTAGTTGAGTCCTCTGAAGTTGAAATTGAAAGTTCCGCAACCGAAACTCCACAACCTCAAGCCGAACCTACTCAAGGTGAATCTATCCCAGCTGAATCTGTCCCAGTTGAAACACAGGCCACAGAAGTCGCCCCTCCACAAACAGAAACTCCTACTGCTTCTACTTCTGCTCCTAACAACAAGTTTTCCACCGTTAATGTCATCACCAACAATATCGTTACTCAAACCCCAGAACCATCTACTGTTTCGCAACAAACTACATCAGCAGATCACCAAATAAACTCACAATTCACCACTTTCGAAGGTGCCGCTAACTCTATTGTTGGCTCCACCAGTCTTATCGGAATATTAATTTCTTTCGTCTTTATGATGTTATAATCATAATTGCAAATTCTGTCTTGGAATAGTCTTTTCATTCACAACATATCACAACATACCACCTTTCGCGGGATTCAATTCCTTTTGCTTTTAACCTGGCCCATTTGCCCACTGGAGTTTTCAATTTTAGAGAAAAGTTTTTTCGTTAATAGTGTATAATAATTGTATAGTTATAATGCAACCACGGGACCTTATTTTTATATTTTCGAACAGTCTGTATTTCTTCCTCTCACTAGACATGTGCGACGAAACTCCACCAAGCGATATAAATAGCAATAAAACCTACTTCTATTTCAATTGACTTTTCGAAGTATGTTATATAATGTCTTTCCATTATTTCTTTCATTTCTATACTATTAGAGAATATATATGATTACCATCTAATGTGGCTGGTCCTCAGTCGATCCGAAAATATTTGGTACCCAACCTTCAATATTATAGCGTTTTTTCACCCCTGAATGTTCGTTTTTACAGTGTACTTGCCTAACAAATATTGTTCATAAAGGTCCACTTATACTATTTATTGTTACTGATAAGTAAAAATCATGAATTAATTTAATTATTCAATAAATCCTTAACCCATGAAGGTGTTACCGGGGATACTACTAGCTAATGAGAATTTAGTTCTCACGATGATGGTATTCCAGTTTGAGCACCTATTATGTACCATGACGCTTTAACTAGAACATTTTTTGGAGTGGATCTTAGTTCAATAGGATATTTATAATCGATTTTACCCTGCTGACCATGTAGTTTTTACGATATTAGGAATTTTACTTACCTTAAAGCCCAGTTTGGTTTGTATGGAAATTTACAGTAACGTACGCAAGTTTGAGAACACAAAATAAACCTCTCCTAAAAGGAGCTTATAGTGAAAAAAACCATCGTTAACTTTGAGCACTAGTAAACAGTAGTGAATAGAAGATAGTACGAAAAGTAATAGTTGGATCATGGACGCATATCATGAATTTATTCAACCTACTAGGGTGTCACAATGTATTGGATGTAATTTTATTAGTCCAACATCGAAGAGTTTGATTGTTGGGAAGGCTACAGTGTTACAAGTCTTTGAGATAATAACTACCAAAACCAAGACCCAGCAATATAAATTGAAGTTGGTAGAGCAATTCAAGCTCCATGGGTTGATAACTGACATAAAGGCTATCAGAACTGTTGAAAACCGACTGTTGGACTATTTATTGGTATCTACCAAGGGAGCCAAGATGTCATTAATCAAATGGGATCATCATTTGAATTCGATTAGTACTGTTTCGTTACACTATTATGAAAATTCAATTCAAAGTTCAACATATGAGAAATTGAACACTACTGATTTAGTAGTAGAGCCTAATTACAACTGTACATGTTTAAGATTTAAAAATTTGTTGACATTTTTACCTTTTGAAACTTTAGATGAGGAGGAGGAAGACGATGAAGACGACGAGGAAATGAATGGTAGCTCTGGCAGCGATAAGAAAGCCACTAATAAGGAAAATGGTAACTCGGGTGGAGAAGAAGTATCGGAACTTTTTGAATCGAGCTTTATGATTGATGGACGTACCTTAGATTCTAGAATTGGAGACATAATAGACATGCAATTCTTATACAATTACAGAGAACCAACGATTGCAATAATTTTCCTGAAATCTCATGCTTGGGCTGGTAACTTACCGAAGGTAAAAGATAATATCAATTTCATTGTGTTGTCTTTAGACCTCGTAACTAAGGCATCCACTACGGTCTTGAAGATCGATAACTTGCCATTTGATATAGATAAGATTATTCCTTTACCTCAGCCTCTAAATGGTAGTTTATTAATGGGATGTAACGAAATAATTCACGTCGATAACGGTGGTATTACAAGAAGATTGGCTTTGAATCAATTTACATCGTCGATTACAACGTCGCTCAAGAATTACCATGATCAGTCAGATTTGAACTTGAAGTTAGAGAATTGTACCGTAAAGCCTATTCCTAATGACAATAAAGTTTTGATGATCCTAAACAATGGAGATTTCTATTATATAAATTTTAAAATTGATGGTAAAACTATTAAGAAATTTTTCGTAGAAAAAATTTCAGATATAAACTATGATGATATCCAATTAACATATCCAGGTGAAATTGCTACCCTTGATAATAATTTGATGTTCATAAGTAATAAAAATGGTAATAACCCTTTACTTGAGTTGAAATACAAGAACTTTGAACATGTTATTGTGCAAGAGAATGAAGAAAATAGCAACCCATTAGATAATGAAGATGAAGAAGACGATTTATATGAAGAGGATGAGGTCAATAAGAAAATCTCAATTAATAAAAGTCTGATTGAATTTATAAAGCACGATGAATTGTTGAATAATGGTCCAATTTCAAATTTCACGCTTGGTCATTATTCCACGGATAAATTCAAGTCAAGTTTACCTAATCCAAATTACAAAGAAGTTTCGATTATAAGTAATTCGGGATCCCATAAACAGGGTGGCTTAAATATACTTACACCAAGTGTGCAGCCCATAATTCAGTCATCCTTAAGTTTTTCACAGATCCATAGAATGTGGACAATTAACAATGAGTTTTTGATTACCTCTGACGATGAAAATTTCAAGTCTGAAATTTTTCAACTTAATAAATCTTTTGCAAGATTGAATTCCAAGGATTTTATCAACAACGAATCAACAATTGGGATGCATGAATTGAATAATAGTGAATTCTTTTTACAGGTAACACCGAAGAAAATATTTGTATTCAATAAAAAGTTCAAGAAAATCATTTCATTTAGCAAAGAGTTGAAAAAATATGCAAATGATGAAATTATTTATAGTACTTTCAATGACGAGTTTTTAATGGTATTTTTCTCCAGTGGTGAAGTGGTTATTTATTCCATCAACACGTACAATGAATCATTTACAAAGATAAACATTCCTAAAATTTTGAATGATACAATTATTACTACGGGTTATATAACAAATTCAAGTTTGCTTAATGCAGTACTGAAAGACATAAATTTATTAATTAATAAGAATAGAGGAACTAAAAGAAAGCACAGTGGAAAAATTCCAAGTATTACAAGTATTAATACTCCTGACTCCGATTTGGGACCAAAACTGAAAACTTTCATATTAGTTACTGGTGATAATAGAATAGTTGCATTCAATAGATTTCATAACGAAAGATGCTACCAATTAAATGATGTTGATAAATTCACCGATCATCTCTCATTGGGATTTTTTGAACCAAGAGACACCTACCCTGATCCATTTATCAAGAACATAATATTTAATGAACTAGGAGATGAATACTCAAAGGATGAGTATTTAACTATTTTGACCATTGGAGGTGAAATTTTAGTTTACAAACTATTTTTTGATGGTGAAAATTTTAAGCTTGTGAAAGAAAAAGATTTAATCATTACTGGTGCCCCTGACAATGCATATTCTTTAGGTACTACTATTGAAAGAAGACTCGTTTATTTTCCAAATGTTAATGGCTTTACATCTATATTTGTTACTGGTATTACACCATACTACATTTCAAAAACAACTCATTCTGTTCCGAGAATTTTTAAATTTACAAAGCTTCCGGCTGTGTCATTTGCGCCATATTCGGATGACAAAATTAAAAATGGATTAATTTACCTTGATAATTCTAAAAATGCAAGAATATGTGAGTTACCTGTTGATTTTAATTATGAAAACAATTGGCCAATCAAGAAGATTCCTATTAAGGAGAGTATCAAATCGGTTACATATCATGAGCTTTCAAATACATTTGTGATCTCAACTTATGAAGAAATACCATATGATTGTTTAGATGAAGAAGGTAAGCCAATTGTTGGTGTTGATAAGTCGAAGCCTTCTGCAAATTCGTATAAAGGATATATCAAGTTAATTTCTCCATATAATTGGTCTGTGATTGATACAATTGAACTAGTTGATGATGAAATTGGTATGAATGTTCAATCTATGGTTCTTGATGTTGGGTCGAGTACTAAAAAATTTAAAAATAAGAAAGAGTTGATCGTTATTGGTACTGGTAAATATAGAATGGAAGATTTAAGTGCTAATGGCTCATTCAAAATATTTGAAATTATTGACATTATTCCAGAGCCTGGTAAACCTGAAACTAATCACAAGTTTAAGGAAATACATCAGGAAGATACGAAGGGGGCTGTTACCTCGATATGTGAGATTAGTGGACGTTTCTTGGTTTCGCAAGGACAAAAGATTATTATACGGGACTTGCAGGATGATGGTGTCGTTCCTGTGGCATTTTTGGACACTTCTGTCTATGTTTCGGAAGCGAAGAGTTTTGGGAATTTGCTAATTCTTGGAGATTCATTGAAAAGTATATGGCTTGCAGGGTTTGACGCAGAGCCATTTAGAATGATTATGCTAGGTAAGGATTTGCAATCTTTGGATGTAAACTGTGCAGACTTTATTATAAAGGACGAAGAGATCTTCATACTTATTGCTGATAATAATAGTACATTACATTTAGTTAAATATGATCCTGAAGATCCCACGTCTTCTAATGGTCAAAGATTGATTCATAAGGCATCGTTCAATATTAATTCTACACCCACTTGTATCAGGTCTATTCCTAAGAATGAAGAAATTAATCCTTCAAGTACGGATGTTTTTCAATCGATTGGTTCAACAATCGATGGTTCCTTTTATACAGTTTTCCCCATTAACGAAGCCAGTTATAGAAGAATGTATATTCTACAACAACAGATCACTGATAAAGAATATCATTTCTGTGGATTAAACCCAAGATTAAACAGATTTGGTGGTTTATCAATGACCGTGAATGATACTAATACAAAGCCTTTATTGGACTATGAGGTTATTAGAATGTTTGCTAAATTGAATGAAGATAGGAGGAAGAATTTATCCATGAAAGTAAGTTCTAAGAATGTATATCAAGATATATGGAAGGATCTAATTGAGTTTGACCATGTATTGAAAAATTTATAGTAGATTGTAATATAATTAATGCACATATTGTAACACGCACTTTTCTCAATATATCAACAAAAAATTACAGTAAAATAAAAATCACAGTAACAGCACAGAAATATTTGAGGTAAAATCATGCCACCAAAGTTGAAAGCTACAAGGAAATCAGTATCATTTCAGCATTTAAGTGATGAAGATGTTTCGAAATCGCAGTACATATTGAAGAGTGAGTTTCCACGAATTGAAACGTCAACATTAACAATACCTTTTCATTCAATCTTATTGATTTTTGGATTATATAAATTTGGGTTAACAAATGATATTTACGGGGTAATGTTGAAAGGTATTTTTAGTTTCATTCCTTTGCAATTACTTTACGGATATTTAATAACTACAAGATCTACCGAGAAAGAAAAGAAAAGTAAAAGTCATAATAGTTCAGAGAATGTACCATTATTATTGGCGGGAGGAATTGTTATTTCTCTAGTTTTATCCGTCCCTCTATTCGTTGCATTAATATTACTTGGAGCTCCGTTAGCTAGCCATTTGAAGGAAACGTACCTATTGTCAATTCACTTGTCATTATTGATATTTTATCCTCTGTTAGTTTTGTACAAGTATGATTATAGATTGCTTGTCAAATTCCTCGATAACGATGGTGTGTACAATGCTATAGCCAAGAATCAGATATTACTAAGTGCTGTTTTGGCTGTGATCGGTACGTGGTTCGGAGTTATTCCGATTCCGTTAGATTGGGACAGGGAATGGCAGCAGTGGCCAATTACCTTATTAACAGGAGCCTATATAGGTTCATTTGTCGGAGGAATAGCTTGTTTTATATTTTAATAACCACAATTGCATGGTAAAAATATTCAATTCGCTCAACATGTAGCAGTTAACTCCGAATAAGTTACTTTAAAATTCAGTATGTAACACTAGTTGCAATATGGCTGAAACGTTTAACCAACGCTATGTTACGCTTTCAGTTCTAATCAATTCGAGTACGCATACATCATAGCCGTCTGTAATGTATATATGAGACAAATTAATTGCATCCTTTATGTTCTCTCAATCAACGTGTTTGCTGCCTCAGTCAGTTGACTATAATTTAGCAATTGCGAAATCCCTAGGGTGTTATCGAATCGGTTAACAGAAAACCGAGTGACCACAGAATTTAGTATAAAAGTCGCTCAATATCGTATAGTTAAAGATTTAAGGAACAAAGATAGCTTACTAACTACTGTATTATTTTAATATAACTTAATAAAAACATCTAATAGATTATGTCCGAATTATTTCCAACTGACGTCAAATTGAAATACGTCCCATACACAAAGTCTAATGATGCCGTTGCATCTTGTGGTAACCCAATTGACTTCGACTTAGCCAAGGAATTGCCAGGAAAGAAGATCGTTTTAACTGCTGCTCCAGGTGCATTCACCCCAACATGTACTGAAGAACATATTCCAGATTACTTAAAAAACTTGGAAAAGTTTAAGAGCAAGGGTGTTGACAGAGTAGTTGTTATTACCGCAAATGACCCATTTGTCAATGCAGCATGGGGCAAGGCCTTGGGAAGCAAGGATGAATCTAATTACGTTATCTTTGCATCCGATCCAAATGCTGCTTTATCCAAAGAATTGGGTGATAACTTTGTGGCTGATTTAACCAAGGCTGGTCTTGGTATCAGAACCGCCAGATATACATCGATCATTGATGACGGTAAAGTTTCTTTCTTGGAAAGTGAAGAAGGGTTGGGTTTTAGTGAAATCTCAAGTGCTTCCACTGTCTTAGAAAGACTTTAGGAGTTCCAAGAGTATGTTTAAGGGAACATTATGAGCTAATGATTATGATAATTTGTATAATTTAATGAAAAATTGTTCTTCTTATTTGTGTGTAGCAATGATGTTTGTAACTGCCGTTAGGACATGATCATATGAGTCATTACTGCTTCTTTCAAATACTTGTGTCTTTAATTGATACCTTTCCTCTAACTTTTATATGAGCTGTTAGGGCTTAAGTGTCTCTTCTTCAAGCATGCATGGTATTTGTAATTCTAAAATGGCAGAATAGTTATCATTTTTGTTGATAAGCCAGAACGCGTAAAAAAAATTTAGAACCGCTTTATTTCTTCTATAAACAAAGCAATAAACAAGACAAAATCTAAAAATGTCTGGGTTTCCAAAGGTTCCCTTGGTTGTAGGAGATACCGATGATGATGCATCAATTCATTTACAGTCTCGTGTAGGCCCAGCGAGGCCATTGCCAAATAAACAAAAGTCGTTTAATCCTCATGATGAAGAAATATTAAAGATATTGAATGAAGTGGATGACGAACTGGACGCTGAATATGATTTCAATAAACAATTTGAGATATTCCAAAAAAGTGGCAGTATTCCAAATGAAATAGAATTTAGTGACAATGATTCGGATGCTGATACCCAGGTGGAATCGGCGAATGAATATGAAGAAGAAACCAATGAGAAGCAGGAAAATAGGTACTATCCAAACATACACAGAGGAGAAGAAATATTGAGGGACAGGTACGAAGAGAAAGAATACAGAGATGAAAGCGATAAACAGAAACCAAATAAAAGTTTGTTTGAAGAGTTCAAGAAAGCTCGAGAGAGCACTCACCCATTCATGGAAACTACCCAGACTAATTACAAGAAGTATGCGTTATTTGCGCTCATGTCATTTTCAGTAACATGCATAGTACTATTGATATATCAACGTGAAATCATTTTCCATCCGGTGGTCATAGATAAGCCGATTGAGAATTACTATGAAATAAACTCGAAGTTTGGTAATCTCGAAAATAGAGTAAATAAATTAACTCTGTTTGCTGAAGACTTATCTAAAAAACAAGAGAGTCTTGTTCAAAAGCATGAAGTGCTATCAGCAAATATAAATGAAAAATTTGATTTAGTTAGCGACAGGTTTGGTAAAATTAATTCAAATATAATAAGTCTGCATCAATTTGATTCGTTATTGAAAGAATTCACAGCGTTGAAGGCAAGGGTAAGTGAGTCTGAACCATATACTAACCCTGAACCGAAATTGCTTGAAATTACAGAGAAATTGAATAAACTCTCGAAAATTAGTGATAATATTGAGTCGGTTAAAACTAGCATATTAAAGGAATTCTCAGCAACGCTACCAGAGAAGGTACCGGTGTACATTAAGGACAATAAGATCCATTATATTCCAGAATTTCACAAATACATATATAACTTTATTGACAATTACCAAAAGGAGAAAAATATTACCACTCATGTAAGTTGGGACCAGTTTTTACGTGAAAATGAGGATAATATGAATAATCATATTAATTCAATAATAAAAAAGACTAATCTACTTAATATTAGTAAGGAAAAGCTTGAATATTTCTTGCAGAAGAAAATCAATGAAAATAATAAACAAATATGGGAAAAGTACAATAATTTGATTGATAATTTGAATGTTGTGAATAATAACTCAACATCTATTGCAAAAAATTTCGAAAAGTCTACTAATACGATTTTGCTCGATAATTTATTAGAAATATTTGCTAAAGGTTCAAACAAGGTTAATTATGCTGATTATAAGCTCGGTTCTAGAATATTGGGCTTCTTAACGAGTACATCTACGTCATTGGCAAGGAGTCAAACTTCACATAAATCCTTACCCAGAAGAATTTTTTTAGGATGGTTTGACTATTTGAATTCAAGTGGTGTTCATAAGCCTAAGAACTGGAAATATAACGCTAATAATGTTTTGATTGATGGAGGCAATTATTGGCATTGTGAATCAAATGAATGTTCAATTGGTTTAAGATTATCTAACCCTGTTATCTTGACTGATTTGATATTTAAAAATCCCCCTATTGATAGTATAACGTCTCCCAGCTTCGTTTCCATTTATATTAAGCCTACAAATCCTGAACAAGTGAACGAATTAATAGAATACTTGCAAAATCTAAAATTTGATATAGCTAAAACCAGTGATCAGAAATACTTGAAGAAATTTTACAAGATTAAAGAAGTGTCACTCGACTCCAATAAACCCATCAACCATGTTAAATTACCGGTAAGTTTGGTAAATTTGAAAATTCCTGTTAAAGATATTTATGTTCAACTTAAGTCGAACAGTGGAATTACTGGATTATACAATTTAAAAGCCTATGGAATAAGCGAATTTAATTCATATAAGTATAATCAAGAATTCGAATTATTAGTAGATAAGTTATCAGAATTGGATGAAAATGAAGAATCAATAACTAATAACATTGACATTGATAGTTTCATAGATGAAGACCATTCCGATATCTTAGGTGATGATGAAATATTATTCTAACTTCAAGTACATAATTACGTATCTCATATTGTTAATCTTAGATATATTAGAATAAAATTTTGCCGTATAACACATTTAAGATACTTTTTCAACTTCAATCCCACGATTATGTACCTTTTATCATTATTAATTTCAGATATATTGGAATACAAGTTTGTTCTAGCAACATTTTCAAGATAATTATAATATCGAGCTACAATCAAATCAAGTAAGAAATAATAAAAGTAAAATTAAATAGCTAATGTAGAATGCAGAAACTATATACCAAAGAAAAAATGCAGAATACAATAAAAAACCCATATTTTAAAAGTGTTCAACAAAATCGAACAAATAATTCCAGTATAAATCCTGGAACCTTAATTAGAAAAAATATTAACCCATTACTCAATTAATCAACTTACAATAAGGATAAAGCAGCTAATAAACCAGCAACGAAGACTGGGGCAGCCTTGTTGTTAGCAGCACCTTCAGCAGCAGAAACTTCAGGGGCTGAAGATTCAGCAGCAGAAGTAGATTGAGCAGCAACGGTAGATTGACCGGCTGGAGCAGAACCAGCTGGAGCTTCACCGGCTGGAGTAGTAGCTTGAGCAGCAACGGTAGATTGACCGGCTGGAGCAGANCCAGCTGGAGCTTCACCGGCTGGAGCAGTACCGGCTGGGGCTTCACTAGCTGGAGCAGAACCTGCTGGAGCTTCACCAGCTGGAGCAGTACCGGCTGGAGCTTCACTAGCTGGAGCAGTACCGGCTGGGGCTTCACCTGCTGGAGCGGAACCAGCTGGAGCAGTACCGGCTGGGGCTTCACTAGCTGGAGCTTCACCGGCTGGGGTGGTACCGGCTGGAGCTTCACCGGCTGGAGTAGTACCAGCTGGAGCTTCACTGACTGGACAGTAAGTAGTGTAAGCAGTGTCGTTTTCAGTGATGGTGGTAACACCGGTAGTGTGGACACCAGTAGAACAAGCATCGTTAGAACATGAAGTAATGGTAACAACAGCGGTTTCAACGTTGGTCTTGGTTTCTTCACCAGCTGGTGGACTAGTTTCAACTGGAGCAGCAGAAGTGCTTTCACCTTCGGTCAATGGACAGTAGGTGGTGTAAACAGTTTCGTCCTTGGTGACAGTGGTAACACCGGTAGTTTGAACACCAGTGGAACAAGCATTGTCAGAACAAGAAGTGATGGTGACAACAGTAGTTTGCAAGTCAGTAGCGGTAGAGGTACCGTTAGTGTATGCAGAGGAAGCACCTAAAGCTGGAGCAGCAGCAGCGGATAATAAAACACCTGATGAGAACTTCATTTTATATATTTGTATTGATTAATTAAGTTAGTTTGTTAAGCGAATGAATAACTGTAATTAACTCCTTTAAAATTCCAAATTCCAGCCTGATATTCACATCTTTTTATACTATTCCGTTACCAGCTATGTGACGACGTCCACGACACGCTTTGGAGAGGCTATGATTCACATTCACCAATTTCATACTATTATTCGGGTATCATAACTGGTAAATAAATAGTTAATATCCCAGATTTTGCACCTGATTGTTCTATTGCATTACCATTTAGAGACAATTTCCCCATGTCATAACCAAGTACATTTCGGCTAATTTTAATTCTAGAATGACAACATTCACGCTTAGGAGGCAAAATTGCTATAGAAACCGTATACATTAACAGCCTTTCCTAGTAAATTTTGAGCCATCGAATATGTGAAACGCGCTTTTCCTACTGACAACCGAAAATTCTCATGCACCAATGCAACAACTCGCTATTTCGGATCGAACAATTTAACCGGATTTGACGGACAGGGGCAATACGCCAGGCTGGAAAAAAGGGGTCATTAGTCTAGGCGACACTTGCTGATTTGCTTGTTTACTGTAGGGCTTTTCACTGCATAATGATTACCTATGACAACAAGTGACGTAAGCGAATAATGCCTTGGGAAAACATGAAGAAATCATATCAGAAACCATAGAATTGTGAGCATATGACTGAGTTCATAAACATAAGCCTGAATGTAGGTGTTGAGCGATTTTGAGCAAGCATTATTTCTATTAATAACACAATACTTACATTGTAGATTAGAAACACAACATATATGAAAACGGTAACGCAGATGTCTAAAAGAGACAGTTGAACGAATGTAGGATACCAGATGTTATAACCATGAGATACGCTATAAAACATGTGAGAGAAAAAAGTGGTTGGAGTCCCATGGAGTCCCGTTCGACAATGAGAGTGTAATGACGGTCTTCATTAAGCAAGGGGTGAGACAGTTTAGGAAGTGTATCGGGCGGATAAGGAAATTAAATTGACAAGGCAAAAAAAGCTTAGAATGTAAAAATAAGCCTTCGAAATTTATGCCTTCAAAACAACTTTGAAGGTTGCGATTTCGAAGCCTCTCAAGCCAATAGACACACTTCCCTCGTGAAGCGGTATTTCCTCGCTTTCCTGTTCGAGGGCATTTGCCTTGAATATTTTGTCGACTGGGAGTACATTGAGGTCAAACTCTAATTTACCCGAGCTTGAACCACCTAACGACTCGTATACTCTAATAATTAGTGACTTTTGGCCCTTGTTTTTAATCGGAATGTTCTCGTGCAACGAGACATCTTCGTCGTCTTCTGATCTCTTTAAATGGGACAAGACAAGACTTCCTCCGTCAGTCAATTTAATCGAGCTTAGCAATTCTGGCAATCTTGTAGAATTGACCCCATGGCATAATTTATGGTTGAAATTATAACCCAATTTAACTGTATCTGAGCCCAATGGACCATTATGCGGATATAACGCATATTCAAATTCATGTTTACCCATATCTGCTTTATCATCAGGAGCCTTAGCTGATCTCAACAACGATAATGTCATCAAGTTTCCACGTATTGACCCACCGTACTTACTGTTATTCAAAATGGATACACCATAGTTGAATTCTGACAAATCCATAAACTTGTGGTGACATACCTCAAACTTTGCGACATCCCAACTAGTGTTATAATGAGTAGGTCTTGATGTTAAGCCGAACTGTGTCTCATAATTGGCTTGTTGAGATGTATAAACAGTTGTTGGAAATTGTACCTTCAAGAATTTGTATGTCTCGTGCCAGTCAACCTTGGATTTAAACTTAATAAAGCTGTTTTGTACCGCTTTAAAATCAGTTAATCCCTCGATTGAAACAACAGTCTCAATGGAAGACTTATCAGAAATGTGTGTTTTAATTAACACTGATGACTCTAATTCATTGTTTGTTAATATACTAACTTCATTCTTCGTCAAAAGTTTATATTTAGTTAACGAATATAACTCAGTATCCCAAGCAGGGAAATTCAATGGCTCATCATCATATAAAACAAACTGGTTACCTCCAGTACTTTCGCCACTATCCGTTTGTTTTGTTGGAGTAGCATCAATGATTTCGCGGCCATGTTCTAAATCAATTACAGATGTTAAAATTCCGCTTTTAGAAATCGTTGCCTTAATCTTTTTGTTTGATAAAACAAACACTCCTTCTTCTTCAACAACAGATGCAGGGTATCTGATCTCTGATTTATAGTTGATCTTAGTTACACCCAGATTATTGGCAACCGATATGATTAGGTCGGTCCCCTCTTTGACTGCGAAATCCTCGCTAATTGCATCAAATAAATCAGAATGTTCTTTTTGATTGATTCTCAATATTTCATTTCTAGACCATGGCAACGTATTAAGGTAGTTCAATGATGATAATGTAAATTTACCATCATCCTTAATAATACTTAAAGCATCATTAATTAATTTATTGGCATTCTTTAAAACCTTTTCTAACATTGGCCAAACTTCATCGTAGTATACCATGCCAATACAACTACCAGGTAAAACATCATGAAACTGGCATAAACAGAGATCTTCCCATAAAGCGGTTATTTCTGATTTTGGATATTTATAATTGTTGTTCGTAATTGAAACTAGCGTTGCTAGCCATTCTAAGTCGTGTAATTTAATTTCATTAATTCTCATTAACTTTTTAACATAAGCTTGGGTGGTATACGTTCCTCTATGGAATTCCAAGTAAATTTCGCCTGTCCATGAGGGTAAATCTTTACCACCATTTGATCTTTCTAAGATATCGTCATAAAAGTCGTCAACTGTATTACCTAAATGCACGGTTGGCAATAATCCACTTGTATCCGAGATTCCTCTGCATCTTCTTATTTTTTCAAACATTTCATCCGTTGGTCCACCGCCACCATCACCATGTCCAAATAATAATAATCCAGTTGGGACATCTCTTAAATTCTTGTGTTGTTCTAAAGACCTTTTGATGTCCCCAAAGTGTGCGCTAGCAGTATAGGTATTTGCTGGTGGCATATGAACCAACACCTGAGACCTATCAATACCTATCCAATTAAATGTGCTTAATGGAAACTGGTTAATGTTATTCCAAGATAATTTTTGAGTCAAAAAATTATTAATTCCAACCTGTTGACAAATCTGTGGGACTTGAGACGAATATCCGAAAGTGTCAGGTAACCAAAATATATTAGAGTAGATTCCAAATTCATTGTATTGGAATCTTTGTCCTAATAGAAATTGACGAATCAACGATTCCCCATTTGGAAGATTAGTATCATTTTCCACCCATGAACCACCAATAGGTAAAAATTGGTTAGTTGTGAACTTATCTTTAATCTGTTTTAAAATTTCAGGATGATATTCTTTTAGCCATTTGAACTGTTGCATTTGAGAGGCAACAAAAATATACTCGGGGTACTCCTCAGCAAGTCTCAATTGTGTAGTCCAAGACCTAACAATCTTTCTTTTGGTTTCTGCAAATGGCCACTCCCAAGCTGTGTCTATATGGCAATTACCAACCCCAAAAACATCAATTCTAGAATCAGAAGCAAAGACTTCATCTGAATCAATTTTATCACCAAGATAGCGTTTTGCCAATTTACGACATTCCCCGATTGAATCAACATTATCGGGATCAAAGGTATTCATAATGTCATTACATAACTGGTTTGCTTGCCACTTCTGCCATGAATTACCTGGAAACTCTCTTGCAGCATCACCAATTATCCAGAAATCCCACATTAACCTTCTTGCTTCTAAGTTGGGTAATACCAAATCACACTTACTTAATTGGAAGTATCTGTTAGGATTGGGAGAACCATCACTACCATTCCCAAACATCCCATTACAGGACATTTCAACATAGAACCTATGGACACCTTCCTTCCAGTACCGTTTTGGGATCCTAAATAGAGTTCTTTCATTACCACCTGTAAACGCTTGCAAGGGCAATCCCTTGTCATTGCATATCATTGCCTCGTTATTACTATCCCATTGAAATTCAATTGCCTCTGGTTTCTTACTCAACCATTCTGATGGAATTGACAATTCAACCTTGAACCAAAATGTCTTCCACGAGGGACCAAAACTATCACCCTTGTTGCTATCTTGCCATTTGACCTCATCCCAATTTATATCTTTAAACAAAGGTCTTTGAGTCTTTCCATCCTTATCGTCTGGTACCCTATAGCTTTTTATATTAATATACTCTGTGTTAGTATCTACCCTATCGAAGTCATAGAATTTTGGCAAATTCAAGTCTCGATATTTACCTCCATCAATAAATTGTCTCAACCTATCCTGAAACAAATGATCAATTGGTTTGAAGTTAGGTTGTAGATTATGTTTTTCGTATTCTTTACTCATAATTCTTATATTTTATAGTCTTCTTTTAAATGAAGAAATATTAGTAGTACTGCTCCATTCAAGGGGTCTCGCTAGCCTTTTATCTGATTATTGTGTGCACACCCCTCCTATTGCTATACTTTAATACCACTTGAAACATGTGTTGCATTGTATTGCATGTATGGGTTAGTAATATTGGAGTATTCTTGTCTAGTAAGGATTTATTACGGGGCATTACTAACAAATTTTAACAGAATATGGAGAATTTTCGTTTCAGTGAAGGTTCTTGCAGGCGATAAGATAACGAAGATAAGATAAGGCCAAAAAATTTTATCCCAGTACCAGGCTACCGAAAAGCTAACAGCTTATATATATACCAGGCATGTCTTTTCGGGGGGAGATTCCCCAAGGAATCTTGTTTCGAGTCCATGAAGAGTCTATTAAGAATGAGCTTACTTGTTGGTGAAATCGAAAATAATAGTTTCTAACTTATGAATGCATAAGCAAAACCATCAATAATGGAATATAGAATACATTTATATCAAGAAGAAATGAAAATGAAAATTTTAGGGTTTAGTTCAATCAGCTTTCTCCGTATATTTTCCTAGAATCGAATAAAATCCCTTTAAATCTCATCAATGAGAGGGTTTACGTTTCAGATGTATTTAGAGATCTCCGTATTATAATTACCAATAGGTGCTCAGATAGCCTCAATTCAACCTTACAACTTGAAATATGAGCTTCTTTTCTGTTCATTATAGGCATGGGGGCAAAAAATAATAGAATTAGCAAACAACAACATGACTTTCACCCTTTTCTCTAGTAATTTCCCACCTGTAGTAGCCCCTAATTCATATCTACATTAAATACATACGTATATGATTGTATTTTAAGCTATATCTTTACTATCTACACATAATTCGTGAAAATCAGTTTATTACCCTATACAGACTAATTAGCGGCACCAACACCAGAATATCTTATATATACTAATGGATCTACTTATCTTATAAACATTTCTTCAGTTTATTGGATCTTGACTTCCTTGTCTTCTTCGATATGTTCAACATGATCGTAATCATTGATCGAAGCAGATTGGCTTGATGGCAACTTAGCAACAAATCCATTGATCAAACTAAATTCGCTGGTGACGTTTCCACCCAAAGATTGGATCTTCTCTTTGATTTGAGACTTGTCGCTATCGCTAGCGGTTTCTTTTAATGTAATTATATATGATTTGAGGTCTGACATTTTTGTAGAACTATAGAAAAGAAGAGGATATCCCTGGAATCAAATGTCGAATTAAGTCCTTTAGTATATCAATCTATATGCAGTATGAAAATCTAATGATAAATAGATAAGCAATTTAGTACCAACGGCAAAGAAATAGAGATATACTAAATCTGTTAGACGCAATGAGATATTATACTCCAATAGACCGATTTTTGAATAAGATCAAGAGGAAAGGATTCTTTCTCTATTCGTCGATCATAGTATTGTCGACATTGTATGTTTTTTATACAATTTCCCACTTACCAGATGTGCTGAAAATTGAGCCTGAGACTTCACCAAAAAGCAAGATACGTAAGATCAAACATCAAAAGAAAGATGGTGAAAGAAAGATTAAGACTGAAAGAAGAAAACGAGCAGAGATCCGGGAGGGTTTAGTGGATGGTGTAGGTGTCCACCCGGCAAACCACTCGGTAAGCGAGATGAAGGGGAAAGTCCAACTTTAGACAACTAGCGAAATTCAGAGTCTCTAGACTATATTCCCACGTAAAACTCGACATTTGGAGTCTGACGCCTATAGAAGTAGTTTCGGGTTTCACAAGCAAGAAATTTGAGAACCGATAATTCAATTGTGAGAAGCGGTAGAATCGCCCGCTCACAATCGACACCTTATTGGCTAATGGTTTGGCTACCCTTTTTTTAGGGATCTATGTATTTAGGATATCAAAATTAAATGCTTTCTGCTTAGAGATCACGAATCGTAGGGCTGTTGTAGTCAGTGTAAATTCCAGTCACATGTAGTCCTATATCCCTACGCATCTATGGAGTATTTAGAATTGCGTCCGGGGTTGCATCCAATTTTCACTGACAAAATTGGCACAATTGCTGCAACAACTCTATTCATTGTTGCCAGTTTATCCACCTAAATATCTCATCTGGTTCGTCTACTAGTCTACTGGCCTACAATCCCATAACCAGTGAGGTATTGAACTTGCAGGGTATGTTTGGTTTGTATCATAACTTGCAGGGTACTCTGTCATTTAGTACATAAGTGGCTATTTCCCTCCAAATTTAGCCTGTCCTCAATTAATTGTCTACAACTCATTGCACGATGTGTTCAATTGACTATCCAAGTTGTCGATTATGACTTTTGACAAGGGTAATTCCGTATTAGTAATGAACCGTGTAGTCTAGCCGGTCATTTGGTGGAGGCTTTTGTGTACTTTTTTTCGAGCGGGTTTTCGGACATAATCATTGGACATAATTGCTTTCAACAGTACTATAAAAAGGATTATAAACAAATTGCTATAGTTTAAGGAATATATTATAACTTATTATTAAATTAAATTATAAAAAATGGTCAAAGCAGGTATGTATATATAGTATAGGTAAATTGGTTAGGTACTACGCAATCAATTGATGTATTGGGTAATGAGCAATATAATCGATCGATTTGTTCCTTGAACAATTGAGTCAATTGTTATTCAATTTTGACTAATTGATAGAATATTTGCTCGTCGTCCGAAAATAAGTATCTGACAGTTGATTATTTGCTCGCATTGAGTAGGAGGAAGAAGTATTAAGGGCGCATATTAACAATAATGCAGTTGCTGTATTAAGAGGTGATTCTAAGGTTAACGGTGTCGTTAACTTCGAACAATCGTCAGAGTCAGACCCAACTAGTATTACATGGGAAATTACCGGTAATGATTCAAATGCTTTAAGAGGTTTCCACGTTCACACGTTTGGTGATAACACCAACGGTTGTACTTCTGCTGGTCCTCACTTCAACCCATTCACTAAGGAACACGGTGCTCCAGAAGACGATAACAGACATGTCGGTGACTTAGGTAATGTGACAACTGATGCTTCTGGTATTGCTAAGGGTTCTAAGCAAGACTTATTCGTCAAGTTAATCGGGCAAAACTCCATTTTAGGTAGAACTATTGTTATTCACGCTGGTACCGATGATTTGGGTAAGGGTGGTAATGCTGAATCCAAGAAGACCGGTAACGCTGGTGGCAGACCAGCCTGTGGTGTCATTGGTGTTTCCGACTAGATTCGTTGTGGCACTTGCTCTGGTTAAAATATATATCTGAATGTATGACGTTGTTTTATATCTTAAATGTTGCACTTATATTGTAAGAGTTTAAGCTTGCGACACGCAGCAGTGATTTTTTGGGTACAGTAGATAATGTAGACGATTACGGCTACGATACAGTATTCAGTAAATTGAACACCCTAGGCACTTGGCTCTAAACTATTTCTGGCTAAAGTTGTATTTGCATTAAATATTAGTTCCGAGAATAGCCAACTATCAATTATGAACTCAGTTTATCTAGTTATTATGCCAGCGTATTCAACAACGTATGTTTTAGAACTTTTATCATTGATTTCTACGATATTCCTCACTTCAGTAAGGTCCTGCTTCATCGTATCTATCTGATCATTCCCTCTATATACACCTTTCCATTTTCTTCATTAATAATTTGTAATTTATAAGAATCCTCTCCCTCGACGCATCCTAAGGTTACTCTATCATTTAAAAACCATGGTTCGATATTCTTATAGGTAAATTTCTTGATCATGAAGTCGGGGTGCAACTTTTGAAACCAATATAAAAGAAGAGTAACCATAAACGGACCTTGTACAATTATTTCTGGTAGATTTTCCTTCTTTCGACAATAATTGCCATCGTAATGAATCTTATGACAATTATATGTTAAATAGCTGTATCGTATAATGTCATTAGATGATAATTGGATATTGAGTGTATCGTTAAATTTTGGAAAACTAGCCTGATTCGTTACCGGGTGATATAAATCGTTTTTATATATCAATGTTCTATTTTCAACGAAGTTAAGACATTGTGCATTACTGAACTCTCTAATAATATTGACAAACGTTGCATCCCCAAAAGTCTTAACTGTATGAACATGTTCTGTACATTTTAAATATTCATTCAACAATGGCGACTTATAAAATTCAATATTTCCTTTTACCCACATTCTTCTTCTATAGGCCTGTTTGTTTCTTATCATGGGCGCCTGATAATTGTCATACCCATCAGATCCAAGGGTTACATTAGGCTGATTATTATACAAAAAGTGGAAGCCAATGGGCAAGTGGTTCTTCTCAAAGCCTAATTTTTTAGCTTGAAACTTTTTTGGAAATATATCATTTAGAAGTAGCAACAAGTTATTAGAAGCTATAGTAGAGCATGTATCTTCAAATATCCAAGTTTTCAGTTTAATATATCTAGACCATTGGTCCAAACCTATTTTGCTTAAACCCATGATATTGTGGATTAGGTCAAAAATATCTCATCTCTCATCACCAAAAAAATTATTTTCCTAGTAAAATTATTTTACAGCATTAACTCTTTTTTTTGATAAGCAATAATCAACATGAGTACCAGTGAAGCGTTGAAGAATATAAAGAATAAGCAGAAGAGGCTGAAGTTGTTTGCTGATTTGAAACAAGAAAAAATCAAGGCCCGTCACAAATTAAGAAATGAAAGAGCCAAGGAGGAAAGGTCTAATCCTGAATTAAAGGAAGAAAGATTAGCTGCTAATATACCAGAGACTATTGAAAGTAAGAGAGTTTTTGATGAAACTATCACACAAGAAGTAGAAGGGGAAGACGAATTTGATCAATATTTCTCTAGTTCACAAGAACCTAAAATCTTACTCACGACCAACGCAAACGCCAAAAAACCTGCTTATGAATTTGCAGATCTTTTGATGGATTTCTTACCCAATGTGACATTTGTCAAACGTAAAAGAGAATTTAGCATGCAAGATATGGCCAAATTTTGTAAGAATAGAGAATACACCGACCTTGTGGTCATAAACGAAGATAAAAAGGTGGTAACTGGTATAACATTCATTCATTTACCAGAAGGCCCTACGTTTTACTTCTCAGTTACCTCGCTAACAGAAGGAAAGAAGATCGCTGGCCATGGTAGGGCCACCGATCACATACCTGAATTGATCTTGAACAATTTTAATACCAGGTTAGGTAAGACTGTTGGTCGATTATTTCAATCATTGTTTCCTCATAAACCTGAATTCCAGGGTAGACAAGTCATAACGTTACATAACCAAAGAGATTACATATTTTTCAGGAGACATAGATATATATTCCGTAATGAGGAGAAGGTGGGTTTACAAGAATTAGGTCCTCAGTTCACTCTCAAATTAAGAAGATTACAAAAGGGTATTAAGGATGATGTCGAATGGGAACACAGACCTGATATGGAACGTGATAAGAGAAAGTTTTACTTGTAATCTATATATCTTTATATCGCCATATACTTAATTATCAAAATTTATCGTGTATTATATTAGTAGACTATACGCAGGATGTCTGATGTTATAAGGATTTACTAGAACATCAAACGCCTTTACAATCATAATAACTTAGATTGAAAAGAATATTGATAATTTAAAATTGATTAACATTTATTGAGTGTTTACTAGTGGTGTATTGAATACAGTGAATTATTGTTTCAATTTTTTTTTAACTGTTTGAAGAATAGGAATTTTAAATTCGTCCACAGATTATTGTCTCTCATTTTATACAGATTCCATTATTAGTTACTATCAGCTATACAAATGACAATGGATAATAGCGGAGTCAATCAAATAATCAATGCTTTAGAGGTCATATATGATCCTAAAGCGACGAATGATCAACGAAGAGAAGCACAAATATTTTTGGAATCTATTAAAACAAATGAAGAATCACCATTTTGGGGCTATCAACTAGCATTACCAGAAAATAATGGTAAGAATTACATAGTTAGACACTTTGGATTGTCATTGTTACAAAATTCTATCAATAAGAGATTTCATTTATTCAATTCCGATAAAGTGTCCACTATAAGAAACTGGGTTATCGAATTAGCTAATAAAATAAATGAAGATGATCCTCATTACTTGAAGGAAAAGTTAGCATTTTTGTGGGTTTCTATAGCCAAGAAAATATGGGGCTGTTTCCTAGTTAAGTCGTTGAAGGGCGATGTGTCAAGAGTGGATGAAAATGACGTTGAAGATCAAAATAATGATAAGTCATCTGTTACAGAACAAGACTTAACCGATGGGTGGGCATCCATGGATTCAGATTTATGGAATTTATGGAACAAGAATGTCTGTTGTCGGGAATTAAGTCTTATAGTAATCAGAACGTTATTTGAGGATATCTATCTTCTAGACGACCCTATCGCATCAAAGAGAACAGCAATTTTAAATCAGCTAAGCGTATTAATTGTCACCCCCGATGATATCTTGAATTCAATTTATGAACCTAACGCTACTTTATCCCTTTGTAAATCTTCGACTGTTGGTTGGTTCACAAATTTGAGCGAAAACTTAGTTGAAATATTACTGAATAATGATTTCAATAGCTCGACTTGTGAAATATTTGTTCCTAAGATTTTATCCATATTTAAAACGTGCTTACATTGGATCCAACCTGTTGTCTTAAGAAATCAAAATATCATGCAAACGTTGATAAATATTTTGACTATTCCAGATGTGAAGTTGAAGACTCTTGCAGTTGACTGCTTGCATATTTTATTTACAAGAAACTACAATAACGATGAAGATTTTGATTTTTTTATTGGAAGTATATTTACAAATGAAGGTATAAACAAATTATCCCAGTTTTACCAGTCGTTGGAAATTGATCCGACCGATGTTGACGAACAGATATACTCATTATTGAAGAAAACAGTCGAAATGATAGTCTCATTAAGTGAGTACTTGAATATATCATTGCCCCAAAAAAACAAAATATCATGGGAAAATTCTGATATTGATAACTATTTAAATTTGATATTGACAACTACGAACCACCCAAGTTTGATAATTTCAGGGTTATCGTTACAAATGTGGGTAACTATCCTAAGGTTTGATGAATTGAGTTCAAAAAAACCGATACTTAAAATTCTATTAGATTTGTTAGAAACTTCGGCCAATAGGACTTTAAATTATAGTATAATCGGCGAAGAAAATGTTTCAAAGGTATTTTTAAATATTGATTTTGATTCAATCCCAGATGCGAATTCATTTTTATCAAATTATAAAAAGTTCAATGAAGATATTGTTAGAATAACAGTTTGTAAGAAGCCAGAAGAAGGATTAATGTGGCTTGAGAATAGATTGCAAAGCTTCTTTAGTTCTAAGCTTGGTGAAGAATGTATTCACGAATATAATTTAAATGAAAAGTCAGATGCGTTGAACTATGGTACATCACAATTCAACATAATCGAAAATTGTATTCGAGGTATTTCAAGATGGAGAATATGGTATTCTGGAGATGATTTTGACGTTATAAATGATAGATTGAATAAGCTAGTTGAAAGTCTTGGTGAGAGGTTACTAGCCATGAATTTAGCATCTCCGTTATTGATCCGTAAGCAGGTACAAACATTAGTCCAATTTGCTCCGTTATTAAAGGACGTGAGTCCTTTAATGTTTCAGGTTTTGGAAAAAATTTTAACTACTGCAACATTTGACTACCCTAGTAACATAAACGACGATGAAAAAGAATTAATCCGAGACTTGCGTACGAGTTGTGGTACTGAACTAAATCGTTTAGCATATATTATGCCTGAATCTTTGAAAAAGATATTTGGTGACTTGGAAAATGTCGTAGGTAACATTTTGTCTTCGAAAAAAGTTAGCGATCATGAAAATGTTGCATTCAAATCGTTCTTATTAGTTATTGCATCTCGTTCAACCATTGAAAATAAAGATGAACTATTCGCAAAAATTGTTGATCCTGAATTAATGGCTTGGTCTGCTCCTGCAACTGAAAAGGGTTTAATGGATTTACATTGGTTTATGGAAAGAATCGGGATTGTTGAAATTGCATCATACTTTCAGAGCAGAAGTATTACGGCAAATACAAATCTCTTAGAAAGTAAAATGGACGAAGAAGGCAAAATATTAAAGAATAAGTTAAAGGATCATTGGTCCTCCATTTTTCCAATACGTGCTACCAGAATCTTTATCCAATATAGTATTGAGAAATTAAATCATGATTCACCAGAATACTTAAATTTGTTAAAGCTATGGAAGCCAAGGGTTCAACCTATTATACCTCATATCTTACAGCTTTTAACACAAATTCAAGTCTATCATGATCCTGAGAATTGGAAAGATTTACCGGATGCTGTTCAGTCGT